ATTGATACGTTGATAATGTAGATTCGTATATAGGAAATGATTTTTAAAATAATTCCTGTATACGAACATATTCTTTGAGTTTTTGACCAATTAACATTTTACATAAAAACTCACCTGTAATCATGGGCGGTCATGGGCGGCGGTAATCACTTACCATCAGGTTTGCCGCAAGGTCGTTTGCCCCTATGCTATAGAACTCATACAAGATACCGAATCTTTCGTCTTCATAATATTAGGTTACAATTATCATAAAATATCTAATATATCGCGTTATAAGTTTCATGTAGTTATGTATATTTTATAACTATTAATAGGTAATACTTTGTAGAATAATGTTTTGACCTTATATAAATTATCTAGGGTTCGCCACACTTTCCCTCATCTAGGTTCTACATATATTACATGTGTTATTTAGTTTGACGTCAGAATAGTTAGTTAATACGTTTATCGAAAGATGTTAGTTACGCCATACTTACTCGTTATGCGTAGCCCCCATTATGCCCAGATGGAGGGTTCAAGTTCAAATTCGCGACCTTTGTATGAGAAGCGATGCCTACTTGTAATATAGGTCACCAGCCTACGTAAGGGAGAAGCCACTGTTAGTAAAGAATAGAATAAAATAGAATTTTTCCGAGACAGTAATGACAAAAAAAATACAACAATTACAACAATTTACATACATTACAAAACAGAGTCAATGTAAACCACAAGTCAGCATAATGCTGGAAACATGTTTCTAGCGCTTATTTTCTGTAATGAGGACTATTGGACCCATAGTTATATTTAAAGTAATGTGTACACTATTAAGTTATACCATCCTCAGTATTTGATACGGGTGATGAGATTTGTAGAAGTAGTTAATATTTTTTCTCAAATATGTAATGGTGGAAGAGCTACCTGAGAGTAGGAGGCGCAGCAAAGGTATTGAAAAGAATTGGCCGTACACCGAATATACAGCCTTAATTGCCACCATAGATTGTAATTTATTTTGTCAGGTATCACATTCACGCGTTACCTCTTCAATCCCGTCGTATCTACCTGATTGAAATTGTGATGGGTTAAGTCATATGACTTCATCTTTTTTTCTTCTCTGTGTCTCCGATTAGATTACCCAAGATCACTAATTCAAGTTGATACTTTTTTTATCCTTTATTACATAATAAAACTTGTACTTGTTAATGCCGTATGACATTTATAAGCTAACCTATAGATAGAAACATAAAGCGTTGTTTAACTGTCAATCATTCGAAATTAAATAGTTATATATAATAGGATTGGATATGAATTTACAGAGGTATTTTTGTTGCAGTATCGATATATGATTTTTAGCATTTTACTGTATCGATTAAGACTTCAATTATGTATATATATCCCCATACATACATATATGTAATACCTGTCTCTCATTGGAGTCAGTAGAGACAAAAGCAACAAAGGTTTCGATTCAAACAGACCCCTTTCGCTTCCTCTACATTCATCAATCTATTCATGCAACCTCGTCCGTTACCAATAGGTTTTTTCAACACGTCACCGATTTGTCGACGTACGTCCGATTCGGGCGGTCTCCCCAGGTTTATTTATATATTTTATTAAGGTATATTAGGTAGGTAATGTGTAGGTGTGTAGTGTACGAATATTTTATTAAAAAGTTGGAACGTTCTGTCTAGAGTGGTTCAGAATAACTTTTATATTAATTTACGAATAGAATTTACCGAAACCACACTACGTACACACTACTACACACCTATTCAATATGATACATTAATCTCATATATTTTGCACTTTTCCATTAGCCACATTGCTAATGGAATGTTTCTATATGTACATATTCGAGTACATATAGAAACTTAAGTACATTAGGTTATTGATTTTAATGCGGGAAAATGAATCTCGTGAATATAAGAACATTATAACAACTAGATGTATTCTTACCAATTGTTGGCACTTAGAATCAGTTTAAGGGCATTATTTATTAACTACTAACAAACTAAAACATTTTCTATTAGTAAAACATGGGACACCCCCATGTTTTACTGTAATGGGAGTGCAGTGATCAAAGATATACAGGAGTAGCAGTTTATAAATAATAAGAAAATTCCGGATGTTTTTTATTCTATAACAAGTACAACAAGTACACGTTTACAATTATTTTCATACTAATGTGTTGTATCTCTTTTAATCTCATACATAAAATTCTCGTGTCACAATGTTAGTTACCATACTCCTCTGAAATGGCTTGACCGATTTTTATGAAATTTTATATGCATATTCAGTAGGTCTGAGAATCGGCTACTATCTATTTTTCATACCCCTAAGTGATAAGGGGTTATCCACCCCTAACATTATTTTTTTATTTTTTGGGCAACATTTTTTATTTATATTTTTTTATTGTGTCAATAAAAAATACATACAACCCTACATTTTCTATACCAACCTCTATTTTTTTATGGCGTTATTAATTTATATGGCAAAACAACGTTTGCCAGGACAGCTAGTATGTTTATAATTAAATTGTTACAAAATTTACTTAGCCCTCGGCAGTATACATATTTTAACTTTGTTTTAATTTATTATATTTATATTGCTTTTTGTATTTTTCTTTTGCTTCTAAAAGCAAATTGCGATAAAAATAAAGTTAAACAAAATACATTGTACTACTTAACTTATAATCCGGCTGAAGGTTAGAGGTGGCCACGGTCAATCGACGAAGGTGTTCGTTAGACAATTACCTTATTTTATAAGTACAATACATGGATATAACAACATATATGCACAATATAAAGTCACAATTGTTATCTCGGATGAGTTAGACAGAGGCATCGTCAATTGTTGACGTCATTTTGCTGGATATATTTGAATCGGGCCTATCGTTAATATTCAGATAAATTTTTGGTTTTGTTTTGTTTCCTTCACCGGAGAGTTAGGCAAACGAATTGTCACATTTTTTTTTATTTTATCCCGACAGATTTGAATTCACGATCTTTTCGATTTTAGTCTGAATAGTAAACCACTAGACCGCGACGCTCTCTAGTACGTAGGAGTTATTGTAGAAAATTACGTAATCTTAGAGCCCTGGAGAGAGGTATCGATCTGTGCATATGGCGAACTGCCAGTAAAAAGACAGTATGCCCCGCTGCCCACGACTTGCTTCTAGAAAACATCAGTTCCTTTTCAAAGATTAGTAATGAATATTTTATGTATGATAATGAATGATAATAAAACCCACCCCAAAGGGATCGATGCTTTAGTGCTAATTCCAGCTGATTGGGTCAGTATTTAAAATGTCTTCCAGGGTAAAATTCTTCTGAAGAGGGTTACTGAAAACTCCTCGGTGTAGATATCTCAGTTTCACCTTTTTCAGCCGTCAAGCAACTTGCCATGTTAACAGTGTTCTGATTGAAAGTTGGATATGGAAGTGCAATTACAGAATATGAGGCATGACATCTTACTCCTCCGGAATGGCAAGGCATAAGTAGTATCACAGGCGTCACATGATAACGTGATGTCTGTAGTGCTATTCAGGTTATATATAGGCAACGATTACCACTTATAATCACGTAATCTGTCAGTTTGTTCACCATTCCAATGAAATGTGATCTGGGTGATAGAGTAAAATATATTCTTTTTACAAAGTTAGACATCTAACGTGTATTAAAGCACGCATAAATGTATGTCGAAATAAGCTAGCAACGGTTCGCTCTCGACGATTACTAGCTGAATAAAATAGTACCTACGCCCGTAAGTGACTTTTATACGTCATACATACCTATATACTTCGCCTCTTACTACCCGACTCCCAATATGTACTCGTGCATCTGAAGCCTGATAAGTACCTACTGATATAATTCTAGGAAGTTTGTTTTTATTTACTGGAATAAAAATATATATGACTAGTGAAAATATTATTAAAAATAAAATAATTATAATAAATTATGTAGGTATATTACTACATACATTCTAGTAAATAGTTAATCCATAATTCCATACAAATATTACAAATGAGAAGGTGTGTCTGTCTACGTCTTATTTTTTTTTTTGTAGAAACGAATGTACGGATCTTAATAAAATACGCCATAAAGATAAATTGTATTACGACTGACATAGGCTATCTTTTATAAGCTGTCCGAATGTGCGATATATTAAAAAACATAAGTATGACTATGCAAAACGGCAGTCGACTTCTTTATTAAAATTTTATATATTTTAATAAAGAATTTTATTCCAACCAGAAAAAAGATATATTTACACATAGATAACAAAACAGTTGTATTTTTAGAAGTTACATCACCAGGGCTTCTAAATGACAAGGGTTTAATCTTATAAGACGACTGTTTGCTTTGCGAGTTAAAGACAATACCTAATCTAACTGCCTACCTTTATAATGTTTGTGTTGGTCTGTAAAACACGAATATATTGAACAACAGGCAATAATTATATTTTATCTCAAATATGCTATTCAAAAACTAATAACCACAAAACAAAACACTATTCGTTACATAATAATCTAAGGATATATTATTACCCAAAAAGTCAATACAATTTCATACATTTGTGTAGAAACGCAATAAATAGAAAGAAAAGAAAGAAGAAAGAAAAATATATTTATTTGGCGCATACAAAACAATCATACAATATTTTACAAAAATTATAACAAATTATTTTAAAAATACAGCTGCGACCAAATTGGTTTCCATTCAGCTTTGTATCTGGGCTGTAATGCCCAAACGCTGATTTTATAATAGACGGCTGGAAAACCTGTCTAATAATGATATCATCTCATATAATGAAAAAGAGGTATACTATATTACTTAAATAATTAATTAAACAGTCGAGCAATATGTAGTTAATAATATAAAAACATGATCAATATCACTTATCAACAATCATTTAGACTGTATATATAAACACAGTCTACAAAAATATATAATTTTATAAATGTAAATTTCTTCTGTACAATATTAATGTATTTGTGATTTACGTAGTTCTTATTTTTATTACAGATCATTGGACATTAAACTGACAAATCATGGCCTTTGCTGGACTTAAGAAACAAATCAATAAAGCTAATCAGGTAAGTTATTTTTATTATTAATGATAATAATATTATATACTATTAAAACAAAGAATTGAAATTAACATCTTGTTCGTCGTCACAGTTGTGAAAAGTTTATTCTGCAGATTAGGTATCAGAACTCATTCATTATTAACGCTTCGATATTAAATTTATCTTCGTAAGAAATATTCTAGGCAAGAATATTACGATCCGCAGAGTTATTCTTCGGTCTACTTATAGATAATTTTAGGTATATTAACAAAGGAAAGTTTTAAATTGCGATGCGAAAATAAGTGGTAAATAATTAATGAATATACACAGTTGTAAATTTATTGAGTTGTATGTTTGTTTGTTCATGACTCATAAGCACGTAAGTACCTATTAAAATTTAACATTATCGTAAGTACAAATTAAAAATCAACCACCATCTGAATAATAATTGAAAGGTGTGTTGCAAAAATGACATTGAAATATTTTCAATTAACAAAATGGATACTCTCGGGGTACATTAAAGTTAATAGCTATATAGCGTCGACGTTCTTAGCAAGTTTACATTGTTATTGGTGTTATAACCATTTCAGCCATTTCTTTGCTCCCGTTTCCTTTCTGTAATACCCATGGTTCCTTCTTAAGGAGTTCAAGAAATTCTTGTATTTATCTTCCTTAGCTTTTAATCAATGTAAATTGTTTTAGTTTCTGATACATATGTATCTAATAATAAATTCGTAGATAGAGGTATACCTCATTTATCCTATTGTGACATAAGAATATTTATGAGCGTAATAAAAATCTATTGCCGAATGGAGAGTGAGAGCATTCAGAGAGAACGGGCTGCACCTAATTGACTATTCTTTTTTTGCATTTCTTATTGTAAAGACAAGGTTTTTATATAAGGAAGAAAAATAAGTGTTCAGGTTTTTGGTCTTATTTTTAGTATTACTATAGTTTTTATTAAAATTGTGGTAATCCCGGATGGGCATCTAGTTAATAAATAATATCTTTGGTGCTGTTTTAAAATACAATAACGCGGTAGTTTCCTCCAAGTTGACGCCAATCGCAGGCTTCTTCCTTAGAAACGAGATCGGTGAATGATTGATGGTTCTGTAATGGCATAATGTCACTGCCTTCTCACTCCACGTCTTATAGCGTCTTGAATAACATGATCTCGAGATATTACCGATCTGCTGTCTTCAAAAGTTTCATAACTTACAAAAATCATACTTGTGTACAGATTACAAATTATATTTCAACACAAAACATTAAATTTTAAGGAGATTATACAAAATTTACAGACTGTTATTATAATAGATCGTTTAAAGCTTTTATGCTTTAATTTTTTTTAACCTTTCTTACCTGAAGCTATCCGAATTAGATCGTAGGGGTAAATAAAACGTGAAATAGATTGACTTACATAAGTGACAACAGAAATCCTATGTAAATAAATTATTTTTAATTTTATTGTACATTAAATTAGATTTATTTTTTATTGTAGGCACATATGATTCTTTTTATGGTAGTATTAATAAAATATGTGTACATGGGCGGATGTAGGCGGTAAGTGATTAACTTACCATCATAGGTGAGTCTCAAACTCGTGTGTTCCCTATGCTATAGAAAAATAAAAATACCTATACGAACAAATCGTGACAGAATAAGAAATGGATCAAGGATAATCCTATCTAAAATGTCTTGGAATGTTTTGGTATTCTAATTGTGTATAAATCCATAATAAAATAGCGAGGATGCTCCAGGATCTTATCTGACGGGAATTGACAAGATACGTTCTTTATTCTACTACTTATACCTTAACTCCGCTAAAGGGAGGTTTATCTCCAGACCGTCGTTTCATCGTATCGCTTCCTTTTGTGTACTCGTAGTATGTATATTTCTATGGTATATAACAAAAGGAAGTCAAACAACGATCTCGTATTTATAGATATTAATATATTTTTAACCGACCGCAAAAAAGGAGTGGGTACAATTCCGTTTAATTTATTTTTTATTTGTATTAATTATCCCAGAAATTGTTTATTTGAAATTCGAAAATAAGAGCGCTATGTGTAGAGGGTGTAAATATTTACAATAGCTCTCTTATTTTGCGTAGTAGGTATTTTTATATTCACTACAACTTTTTTGATGTTCAAAGTTAGTTGTCATTTCAAAAATCAAGAGTCAAATATTAATTCAATTTGAAACTCAATTTGTTGGTACTTACTGGAAAGTTAGTGCAGGCTATATAATATGGAATCCTCCCGCATCCGGATGCAACGAGGGGTCCATGAAACGAGGGGTGAGATGAAGTGCGGGTGTGCGGCCGTGACCCCTGCGTCCTATATTGCCGATGTGCCCCAATTATAACGGCCTTCATGCTTCATGCAGGCTTTAGCTTCCCTCAACAGGACCATTACATAGGTGTTTTAAACTTTCATATAATCTATATATATACATCTACAGCTAAGTAATAAGAAGACTAATCTATATATTTTTATGATTTCTGTCGTGTTATATAATACACAGGAATATAATTACACAGGAATAAAAATATATTTTCTGTTTCATTACATCATCTACTTAATCTCGATTACTGATCTCTAAAATTGGTAACTGATTCTAGCTTTCTTATTTAGAAATGAACCCATGAACGCAATAATTTAAAGCCACTGTAAACTGTAAGGCCGTCACTCCATTACAGTAATTCCCAGCCTTTTTCTTAATTCTCTAACCTTTATTTAGATTATATATATTTTCAGACTATAAGAATTAAAATTAAATTAATATATCCTATAAATAAATGGGATAAGGAAGAAGATGATGATATCCTATAAATAAAGTTTAATTGAAATTAATTGAAAAAGCGTACTATTAATTTATCGATTTATGAAAGATGAACAGTTGGTTGTATTTTCGGCTACACATATTCAAAACTGAATAATTTCATTTGTATTATATATAGAGCTGACGTCTTTGATTCTTTATTGAACGCACTAGTTTTAGGCACTACTGGTTTCTATTTGACATATTATTATTGATTAGCCCACTGATCGGGGAAGACTATAAGCTATATTAGGTATGTAGTTAAGTATAGGCTATTCATTGTTTTTATTATATAATAATACTATGAATAATATATAACCTATACCTGACGGCGTTGGTGAACCATCAACCAACACGCCGTCCACGGTTACCGAACACTGGTTCAGAATCACTAATCTAATGTCCCAAATTTAAGTTGCACTTACCGAATTTTTGCTTATCACATATTGGCTAGTAAATTTTTTATTATAATCCCAAGGGTTTACGGGTATGGGTCTGTTTTATGAATACTAAACATAATTTGGGTTTTATATTTGTCAGTTTTATTTGGCTGTGGACATTTTGTGTAATTCTTCCGTGTTCATTGGTATTTTATTTTATGATTATCGACATAGATCTGCAAGTTTTATTTGTGGTATTTATTAACCAAAAATATTACACAGAGTGAGTTACTGTTTATGGGTCAATGCTACAACTAATTCTTTCTAAGGTCACCTTGGATATCTAGCTCCATATAGGAATGGTGACCTATTTGTAAAATAACAAGGAATAATAATTCTCACCATTTCAATACAGATACTTATTGTATAATTTTTGGCAAACGTTACTAAAATAATTGATCAAAAAATTGATGTAACAATTAATTAATTATAAAAGATTAAAATTACACATTACGTCATTTACATAAGGTATTACACATTTAACTGTGTTTTTATACGATTCTCTCATTAGCATCCAATTCATTATGAAACATCATGAGATACGTGTTATAAAAATGAAATAGTATTTAATGACCAGTTAAAATACACGTAATGTTAATATAATATACTGGATTTGTATAAACATAAGGACTTTACTATGATATTTCTATATATTAGTAAAATAATATAAGGTAATATTAAATAAATAAATTAGGATGTAGTACTTATCTCAAATTTATATGAGTAATAGTTTTTCTTAAAAAAGATTCGCCAGACAATGGGCTATGATAATTGCCAGCAATTAGTACGTAGTGCTTAGCAGGTAACTCATTCACAGCCTCTGCAACTCTCCGTTATTACAATTTGAATTTTTCTATAGGAAAAAAGTAAAGCAACTTTTAGGCCAAGGTCAGGCCGCGACCCGTTTGTACGATTAAAGCATTCCGATAATTCTTGGCTACCTTTTGTTATTTTGAAAATATTAACATAACAGATTGCAGCACTTTATATTCGATTACGACAAGCAAACTGGAGCGTTACGATTTAGATCACTATGTATGTTAATCTGTTTTAGTATAACTTCTAAACTACTTGTTATAATTTGAGAAATAATGTAGTAAGTAATAATCCGATTGCTATAGGTTATATGACATGAAATAGAATATGACTTCTAGAGCAGTATATCTCAAAAGATCTGCCGTACACTGCAGTACCATGGCCGCGGTCATTAGTTGGTATGTTGCTTAAAAACTAAAATAACAGATTATAAACAATTACTTCAAATAATTGCCCGTGCTGAGTTAAGCTAGCGTATTTCTCATTAACAAATTAACAATAAATTCTGTTTCAAACTTTCTAGGGTGTTATTTTACTCAAAAAACCGTTTTAATATTTAATCATACATTTTTAATATTATACCTGCTGTAATTTTTATTTGTAACACGAAAATAATAAATGGAAATTGTTCGATTTTCCTTCCCGTCTGCCTAATTAAAGGAAATACAATATTAATAACCTTTTACAAGTTAAGAGGTTATTCATATTGTATTTCCTCTAATCAACATTGATTATGCGAATACACGCAATAAATACCACATTATTCAATTTTCTGTTACTCATAACCATGACTGTGACTTAATTGTGGGAAAATCCCTATACCTCCATTAGTGACATCTTTTGCGTAAATATTATTGAATATATAGGATTGTCACTTGGCTCTACTAACAAAATGAGTAGGACATTTTTTCTGCGTATGTTTTACAGTCTTTGAGAGGCCGATGATATGCCTTTGAAAATGTATTTTTTAATACATATATGGTAAAGTAATGGTGTACCCATCTGCGCTAACGTTATGCACTGGCTGGACACCATCGGAGGATGATAGTATGTGAATGAAGTCAAATTATTTAGCCCGTCATGCCGTATTCACTAGGAATTAACCACAATGGTTTCCAGAGGTGATCGCGTTGGTGCATTGCTAGCAATAGTGTCACCAAACACTATCTCTAACAATCTTCTTCGACCCATCATAAATGTATTAATAATTAAATTAATGTATTGTAATAATGTTGTTTTGTTACAGTATGTCTCGGAGAAGATGGGTGGTGCCGAGGGCACGAAGTTGGATTTGGATTTCGTGGAAATGGAAAGGGTAAGTATATACAACTTTCAATAGACAAGTTTACTGAAGCAATTAACACATCCGTACCTTTATCGTACACCTTATATCATTGTGGATTAACTTAAACATTTCAAATTTATGTTATTAGACTTTAAAGTTAAAACTTTTGAGTTAATTAGCCAAAATTTTCAGATTTCTCAGCTGAATCCAGTATTGTATTAGGTTACAAAATACTAAATAAAACCGACTGGACCGATTTTGACGGGACTTTTTTGGCAGGTAGCTGATGTAATAAGGAGTAACTTAGGCTACTTTTATTTTAGAAATATGAAGTTAAAAATTCCACGCGGACTAAGTCGCGGGAACAGCTAGTAAATTATATAATTAGATTTCATTAAAATCTATCATAGTTTGATTATATGCTTCTTAGAAACATTATCTACCCTAATTACAGAAAACAGACGTAACATGCGAGTTGGTAGAGGAGTTGCAGACGAAGACTAAGGAGTTTCTCCAGCCAAATCCTACAGCCCGTGCAAAGATGGCCGCCGTAAAAGGGATCAGTAAACTCAGCGGACAAGCGAAGAGTAACACATATCCTCAGCCGGAGGGTGTTCTCGGGGACTGTATGTTGCACTACGGAAAGAAGCTAGGAGAGGACACCATATTCTGTAAATATTTTTGATTTATTTGCTCCTATATATAATCTTGTTAACATTATGGATAGAATGTTTACCATGATAACATTAAACATTATTTAAGAGCTCCCGCAATTACGATACTGGTATAAAAAGACATTGCTTTGTTGTTGTTGCAAAAAAGTGGTGTAAAAGTAATCACTAAACAATTTATATTAGTTGTTGTATATATTAATAAACTGTCAATTTATTGAATATTTATTTATTTATAAAATAAATGTAGAGTAAATAAAATTCAACATTATGCATGTTTCACTTTACAGCGCAGTGTCTTATTGAAATGGGCGAATCGTTAAAACAAATGGCGGATGTGAAATATTCTCTAGATGATAACATTAAGCAGAGCTTCCTGGAGCCCTTGCATCACCTGCAAACCAAAGATCTTAAAGAAGTTATGGTAAGTTTATATCTTAGGTACACAAATGTAATTTATATCAATTATTAATATAAAATTATTAATACAAAGTATAAAATATCCCTGAAGTAAAACACCAAATTTACATAATTAAAATTGTTAATCTATATGTCGCAACCAATGTAACTACAAGTTCTAGAAATTTATGTACTTCCATTACAAAATCTGAAACTGTTTTGTATTACAGCGGTAGAATGTTTAGCTGGAATGTGTTATCACTGAATGCACGTCCGTTGCGTTTCTCCCCGGTTATGATATCATAATAACGTTAACTAAATTGTAAACTTTTACACAACTACACACGGTCTGTTTGGATGTCTAACAACTGTATCGAAGTTATGTATTGATCCAAGCATTATGTTATTTCATTAAAAAGCAAAATATTGATATGTATAAAAAAAATTGTCCTGTACCTATCATAAAAATAATTACTTGTAAAAATTACCTATGTCTGATTATGTTGAAGAAAATAATATCAAATAGTGGAAAGGGATTTTTAGTAGTGGAGACAATTGACCCGATTGCTAACAATATACCATGTTACCTTGACTTCCACGCGGTTCCTGAAATTCCTCCTCTGAAACTCTAGATACCATCGTGGTTAATTCCTGGTGAATTTGTTGCGATGGTTAACATACCAAAACTCACGCTAATCTTATCATCATCCACTGGTCCCCCGCCAAAGTATACCGCTAGCGCAGGCCTATACAGCTTTCTATCAACTAAATCAATTTACAGCACCACCGAAAGAAACTACAGGGACGCAGACTTGACTTCGACTGCAAACGACGTAGACAAGCAAAAGGTGAGAACTGTTTCCATTTTTAAAAATATTGTTTTACTTCTGAGAGAATATGATTTCTTTTATTTGTGCTTTAGACTGTAACTTTATCTTTCTCATTTTTGTTTCTTTTATTTGAACCGTCTAGGCCCTGGTAGGGCCAGCCCTTATATGAGTCCAAGCCATACACCAAGACAGGGTATGTGGGAGATTATGTATTATCATTTAAAATTTTTAAACGCTATAGATACTGTACATATCCACCCACCGTAGGAAGCTAACGCAATACATCAATAACAATCCTAATAAGAGCTCGTTTCTTACATGTTTGTGTTCCTGTCGTGCATCTGCGTTGGACCTTATCACTTCATTATTCTCATTGCCTGACCATTATTTTCAACGTTTGGTTTGTATGCACTTTATTTTATTATTTTAACATTATTTTATTTTTTGTTTTTTTTTTCTTTTCTTGCACGTATGTGCGTAATTTTGCGTGTTTGGGTGCGTGCGCGTGAGTCGCATGAGCATTCGTACATCAGGCTCTCAAATTCCAGACGATGAGATTCGGCAGGCGGAGGACAAGTTCGCCGAGTCTCTGCAGTTGGCCCAAATTGGGATGTTCAATCTACTGGATAATGATGTAAGTTCGTTACATATTTCTGTTGATTATTAATACTAATAATTTTCACAAAAAACATTATGTGATGAAACATGATATTAACCATTGGCTTCAGAGTAAGTAACCCAGAGGTGAAGGAAAACATTGTTTAGAATGTACAATATATACTCCTAAACTTAAGTAAATGATTGCATCAAATTAGAATATATTTATAGCATATAGAAAAGATGATTATAATATATAGATATCTCAAGAAAGGACATATAACTTGGAAGTTGATTGCTGAGGCATAACTTTTTACTCTCTTCTTAGTAAACAATTATGAGAGTAAACAGGCTATCACATGACTACTAGATATTCGTGGTGGGCTCGTGGTTTAATTGCTTCAGGCCAGCGTCTGAAGCAATTAAACTAAAATTTCGTTTTATCGTATATTCTATAGGTGGAGCAGGTGGCGCAGCTTAGTTTTTTTGCGGAGGGTCTGCTCGAGTACCATCAGCAATGTACGGAGATACTGAAGGGACTTGTGTCTACACTGATGGAGAAGTAAGATACTAATAAATATGTATAAATTTTCTTCCTTATTAAATAATAATAAAATAGGTATAAATATACCAGTGCGAAAAGAAACAAGTTGTTACATTGTATTATTTACCCTAAGCAAGAGCTTACCTCTTGATAGTTCTACAGTGTGCGCAAGTAAACCTTCGCTATACTTTTATATTGTAATTGTATAATATAAGAGTATGCCAAAGTTAGTAGAAACAGTGAGGCGTAGTATCAGCATAATAAGTAATATTTATTTATTCTTACCGATCCTCAAACGCTGAAACCCAATTGCACTATAGCATTGCGCTCAAAGTGAAACACATGGGTCTCGCCTATTTCAACCACCAAGCAGTTTTCATTTATAAAGTGATTTTCGGTTGAAGGGCAAGATAGGGCAGTGAATTTACAACGTAAGAATACAATGCATGAGGGGTACTACGAAAGTCACGTAATGTCGTAATATCCATTTTGATGTTCATGTATATATGCGATGGTTATCATTTACAATTAGGAAAGTAGTTAGTTCGTTTATCATCCTAATTACAAAAAAAAAATTAACCAGATCGTATCACGAATAATTTTATGGCAAATAAATAAATTTTAATTCGTGTTAAGACCCGGTTAACAATATATTAAACGAGAAAATTTAAGCATATATAGCATTATTACTATTTTATATTTAATATTGTTTTCATTTTTAGGAAAGAGGAGGCCGTCAACCGTCCTAAGTTGGAGTTTGTCCCGAAGACTCTCGCCGACCTTCACATCGAGGGCATCCACGATTTGAACAATGGTAGGCGGTACGGTTCCACCCAGAGTCTGTCCAAACCCCGAAATCACATCCCTCCCTCGTCCTCCGTCGGCGACCTGAGTAATGGAGATCCATTCAGAGCCTGGGAGGCTCCTACGCCGAAAAAACAAGTGCACCCTAGATCAGCACAACCACCACCAGCAGCTGGGTTCAAACCTCATCCGGCACCCCGAAACCAGTTCAATGGACGGGACCCATGGACAGGTGACTTTGGATTTATTTGCTGGTTATTTCTGTTCGATTTTGATTGTGGATTGCTATTGGGTATATAGATGGTGAAGGTGGTGAGGGTAAATGTAGTAGTAATATAAGGAATTTTGTACGCTTTTGACAAGAGTAGTAATCTGTTAGATTTATTTTTGACTCCGAGGTTATGACAACGCGTATGTAGTTGTTAATATTATAATTGACAAATAAAACATTTGGATATTATTCGGGTTCTGTATCTTATTTAAAACACGATTGTCGCAGTGATAAGTGTAAAATTATAAATTTTGAAAGTAACATAAAAATGTAATATCTTATTCTTTTATTTCTTCAATATGTTATAAATTCTGTCAATATTGATTTAGTTAGTACGTGAAAAATAGTTAAATAATAAGAAAAAAAATCAACCGGATTTTAATTTAACAAAGTTACCTAATAGTATATTGACGTAGGTAAACATGCAATCCATGATTAAAAAGCTTTTATTTATCAATCGTCCACATTTCACAATCACAGTGCACGGAAGCACGCTTCACGCAAAAGGGACCATCTCAGTGTCGGTGAAGGGAGATTAAATTTCTAAAGTCATTAATACTAAAAAAAAAAACAAATCTAATTATCATTACATTTAACAGAACCTACACAGAACAGAAAATTTTGAAATTATGTTAAACTAATTCGTATATAAATTAATATACTATCAATTAGTAACCAAAGAACTATATTTACAAATAAATACTTATGGTATATAAAAACAATACATATATGTACTGTATATGTATATAATAAATTAAAAAAAAATTCGAATTATAACTATTCTTAGATGATTAATCTTATAAGTCATTAGTTTTAAATCAATAATTTTTACATAAGGGTTAGAAATTTGACAACGAAGGGTTAAAATTCTTATTTACATTTAATAATAATAACACCAATCTATTTAAGCGAGAATTTTTCTAAATTCTCACTTCAAATTCAAACAAGGATAACAAGGTTCCGTTTCAATCGTTATCAGTGAAATCTCACTCAATTGAGTATGGGTTAATCTGGCCACAAGCGCAACTGCTACTTACTACTACTTTTCATAATTTTTCTGTTCTGTGTTTTACACCAGCACTATTACTAACTCTATCAGAATTATTATCTAAACGAAATAATATATCTTCTACATACATTTGATATGCCTGTTATTATATTACGAGTATTAAATAAACCGAAAAGGCCGATCCCACGTTTCATAAAAAACGCATTTCGCGATTTATTTTATTGATTTAAGTGTAGAACAATATCCCTTTAATTGTAATATATATATAATATAATATAATGTATTTAAATTATTAAAAGAATTATTAATTGCAAAAAAAATGTTGATACTTTTCTCACGGTTTTTTAAAATTGTAAATAAAATTTATTATTTTTGTGCTTCCTACATTTACACAACATTTACACAACATCTCGAAATATGAATATCGCGTTTTGTAATGTTTGTTTTACCATGAAAAAAAAACAAAAAAAATACAATTATTGTAATTGTATTTTTTTTGTGTACCATACACGAAATTTATGGCATCATACACGTATTACATTATAATTTTAATAATAATAAAATTGTATATAATTGCTTCAGCATTAAATAGATTAGACAATGGTATATTAATAAAATATTTCTATTGTACTTATTATAAAATAGCGTATTATATTTTTAAAGTTTCATAAACATGTACACTTAATTATCTTATCACAATTTTGTTTTATTCGCTTTTTAAGGTGGTTAACTAAATAGTAGATACAAGGGCGTGGTGAAGTGAACTGAAACATTTATTACAGGTTGCCGAAGTTCTGTCCTCAATCCTACCCTTCCTTAACCTAATTTTTATATATTCCTATGTATTAATAACTTTAGCTACAAGTCTAACTATTCCTAATGTCTTATATGAAAATATTTGTCAGGAAAAAACCTTTCAAATTATGTTTTGTTTGAAGGTAGATGCTATTTTAAATATTGATTGTTGTAAGTGATATACACGATTGTCTTTGATGTCTAAGATCCATGGAAGTAGTTATATTTATATAAGGGTCCTTGTGTGAAATGTGTGCGAACTCGAAAGCCTGTGAAGCCTGAACTTAAAACTGATCTCTGTCTGTACAAGATATAGAGAAGAAAATTATAATTAACGGAAAGCCTGTGAAAGCATTCAAGTACTCCATGAAACAACATTATCGAAGGTTGAAAATATATTTTATTAACATATTATTAACATAACAATTAAAATATATTATTATTTTTAATAAGCATTCTCCGTATGTCATATAATCCATTGTTAGATATTACATAGACAGATATTTATTGTATGTTGTGAAGTTGCAACTTGTACTAAAACATACAGAAATAATTTGGTTCATTAATTCTGCCATAGATTTACGGTTCATTATACGTGACCACATGCGAACCGTAACCTAATGTCTTAAACATAATTCGACGATTGCGTGTTCGTATTGGTTATTTTATAATATGTCAATAATTGATGTATTGATCCATTATTTTTAGAAGAATTAATATAAATTTTTCCATTCATTTGCAATATTGTAGTGGATTTCCCGTCTTCTAATTTGATAAAAAAATGGCGTAATTTTGTGAATTAAATGTTACATAAAACTGGTCCTTTAAATTATATTATCTAACCCTTGTAACTGTCCTATCAGGGATCAGTTGTAAGTATATTTCTTATATGTATATATTGTATTGCTACTTTCATGGTATCAAATTGCCCCTATATATACATATTGGACTGGCGCAAATCTCTATTAAAAATTCGTATAATTATGTGTTCTCTTTTATACAATATAATAGACGAATTGATTGATTGTAAGTCGTCCTGTCAAATTGAGAGGTTCGTTTCCGTTTGAACAGTTGTTTTATGATTTTAACTTTCACCTATTTAATACAGGAGGTACTAGTAAATAGATATATAATAGTTATAACATAGACGGAATCCGTGTTCATATTATACTTTAGTGCTAAATTGTCGAGGGATATCGCAGGCGTGGCTTAAAATATACCAATATGCATAATTATACGTTACAAAGTACATTCGATAATGTATCTATACTGTGTAAATATGCGTAATAAAGTCTATTTCTACCTAATGATTAAAATATGTATATTAATATCGTAGTCTTTGGCACCAACTGCGCCTTAATATGGATAAGACTTGGATTTGTTAAAATTGGTATAAATAAATTTTAAAATGTTTTATTTCCGTAAAATGTGTTAATAATCAACATTTGGCACTAACAGTTGAGATACGGTTTCGAAGTCTGTGTAATAATATGTATTTCTATATTTTTAATATATAAACATTAGTATAGTATCTATATAATTTTAAAGATAGTTGCTAAAATCATTAAACAACATGTTTCAAAGGAAACGTTTATAGTAGAATCTTATTTCTTCATTTCTTTGAGCGAGTAGACAATTCTTGTTCTATCTCTTTTTGAGGTTTAAGTGTTCAGTAAAATCTAGAGTGACATGCACATTGCAGAAGTCAGACATACGTACACATCGGAATCAAGCATAATTTTTTACAACAACCACTTAAAACAATTTAACGTTAATTATTAGTTGAAGATAATAATATAATATATAGAAGGTAATCTTGTAATATTCTAGTTTTTTTGACACCTTGCAACAATGAATCAAATGCAAAGAAAGGTGATTATCAAAAACAATAATTTTTAGTAAAGTCACGTAAGACGTAAACCCAATTAATTAGATACTAGATTTATCAGTAGTTGAGAATGTTAGTCAAATACAGTGAGTATAGGAATTTATTTATTTGCGTCGTGGAGAAGGCGGATCGCATGCCGCCTCCCCCGAGCACAAGCCGCCCTCAAATCTGGAGTTGTTCCCGGGGTCGGGCAGCGTGCAACGCTCCAACAACGGTAACACTGTGTGACACAATACAAATTTGTATATTACAATATACTTCATATAGAGGTTACTTCATTGTCACATATGACATTTCAGTAAAAAAATCTGTGTGCGACACAGCGTAGGCTATATAAAAAGCTAGCTGTTAACTGAGATAACAGACAGCGTATATCTGTCCTCAGGATACAATCTATCTTATCACAGATTTCATTAGGATCTATTCCGCCGTTTAAAAAGGTTACACACAGACAGACAGACACTTTAGCGTTCATAGTATGGATGTAAAATAAAAAAAAATAGTATTTACTGTTTTAAATCTGTGAATCATGTCCCTTGTATAGATTATTTTAATTGTTTATATATACACCTTAATGTACATTTATGTACCTATATTATGATTTTGATATTTGCAAAATATGATACAATATAAGTATTAAAAAAGAGTTTCCACACATTTAAAATTGGAGAAGTATCTTAAAGTTTTTTTAATATTGACATCATCATTACACTCAACATTTATTTTTAATTCAACGACCTTATTCTTATTAGTCAATTAGATTTTATCACTTTAGAGTATCTACGCTTTTTATTTTATTAGTATATCTAGTATTACACAAAAAATAGTACCTATACATATATAACATCAGTAGTACTTTAATAATCATCATATTACTTTCACAAACATTACACACAGGTATATATTTTTTCTAAAACAGCTTCTGGTTTTTGTGTGGTTGAATATTATTTATGTTTATGAACTTAGCCTACAATTTTTATTTTGTGCCGCGTTTATGTGAAACCATATCTACAGTCGTCATTAGTTTATCATTTGCTGTGCATGTCATTTTCGCTATATACATTTATTTTAGGGCTAAATATTAATTTGCCGTGTAATGGCAAATTGATATTCAAATTATGCTCAAATCGTTTTCAATAGCATGATGCGATGTTTCATCTTAGCGCTTCACAGTATATCATATAATTTTCATGATTGTTTCGTTCAAAGAAATCACGCCGCCAATAAACACTCATTAAATTATAAACAATTGTATTGTGATTATTATAATTTATTTAAAATTTAATATACAATAATTTTTTTTTCAATCTATTCTTTCTGTATGACAATTATAATTCATTTTGAAATCCATTCTGTAAATCATGTTTTATTATAATTATCACAAAACAAGTCATAACTAGTGTTGTTGCATTCTACCATCAATGCAATTGAAATATTCCTGGCTATTTTAATATTAGAAACAGGCATGATATTTCATTCTGAGCCTTTTACTATTTCATTCAGATGTGAGACAAAATGTAACTATTTAAAGCAAATATATTATTCGTTATTTTCCTCAAAAGTGTTTCTTAAATTGTCTCACGCCTGAGCTAGTTATAGAATGAGATTCGAATAGTTTACCTAAGCAGTAAAATATAGGTAAGGTCAAAGTAGACAGTCGAAAGTGTTTATTATTATTTCTTGCTTTTCTTAAATATCCTCGGCTTGAACGCTTGTATTATATATCAATCAAATATTAAAACGATATTTGATAAAGTTTCAAATTAATATGTCATTAAAAAATTACTGTTGTATCCTATTTTGTATTTAAAAATTCATTTAGCATCACTAATACACCGACTGACTGCATTGATCCTAAAACGTTGTATACCAACAAACAAAATCTAACATTACCGTCTGACTCTGATACAGCATCGCCGCTGCCTTCGCCTATTAAATCTCCAGCACGGACACCAGTGGTGCCCACCAAAGGTCCTTGCTGCACTGCTCTCTATGATTTCGAGCCAGAAAATCAGGGAGAACTCGGATTTAAGGTACGGTTTATATTTAGAATGAATCAAGATTATTTTAAGTTTAAAAAGAAAAAAAAATTGCCTGTGTTACGTTAGATCTTTGCCAATTCCGACCCAATTTTGATGTACAATCAGAGTCTTATTCCGACACTTCTGTATCTGTATCTGTTATCTTACTGTATCTGTATATCATACTGTAAATAAAATATCCTCATGGTCGGCTTACAATGATTATTATGGTACTAACTGCAATTTATAGGCTTCAATGGTCTACTATTATCAAATAGCTAAAATGCATAATTCAAGAAAAATAGTCTTGTGGGCTGCTAGCCAATATTGAAACTTCGACCAACCAAAATGAATCCGTTAGAAAGTGGAAGGCTAACGTAGCAGACTTAAGTTTTTTTTATAGCATAGAGCATAAACAAGCATGCTGATCAACTGATGATAAGTGATTATAGCCGCCTATGATCACTCGCAATACCAATTTCAAGTGCGTTGCCGAACTTTTAAAAGGGAATAAACTCTTTTTTAATCGTTATCGTACCGTAGATTCAAATATACCCAGCTAAATGTGGACAAGTCTTTCACTTATCATGACGTCAACATTTGACAGTGTCTGGACTAAACTATCTAGCAAAATAACAATGAATGTATTTTATAATAAATTTCATTTCAGGAAAACGACGTAATTACGCTTATCAACAAAGTTGACGAGAACTGGTTCGAAGGCTCTCTAAACGGAAAGACCGGATACTTCCCCATCAGCTACGTTCAGGTTACCGTTCCCCTACCAAACATGTAAACCCGCATACGTAAGTCACGCCCACCATGAACGTATTCATCCATTGTTCTATATTGTAACACAACTTGTCTGTGTGAAGGAAGTACGATGTGTGCCAATTCAGTTGTTTAATTAATCATATAATTAAAATGTATGTTACCTTTTTAGCATTAATTTTAATTTAGATTCAGAACAATTATGTTCAGCATTCGATTATACTGTTTATATACTATATAAGGCAAGACTTCAATCTTTCTGAATTGAAAGTCATTAGTTCCATGATTCACGAACTGTTTATTATGTTATAAAAAAAAAGCTTCGTCTTTTATCCATCGTATATACTGTACTGTCGTATCGTCGTAGAGTACAAAAAATAAGTAAAATGAATGTAGCAAAATATTTTACAAAATAATTATGTATGTTAATATTATTCTTTATTAAAAAGTAAGTACGATTCATAACAAATTTGTTCCGCAACACAATTTATCACTATGAATTACTAAAAGAATTTGTAATATATTTTAACTTACATAAGCTACATTATCGATATAATATGCGATATAAAATGGCTGCTAAATTACATTTTTCATGGTATTTAATAAATATATTTTTTTTGTAAATAATAGTAAGTTATAAATTATGTCTGAGTGTTAATTGTGAACATCTGCATTCGTCTTCCTGAAGTTGTGTTACATACTGTTATTACGTCATGTTACGCAGTATTATGTAGATCGTTTATATAATTTGAATTTAGTAACTGTGTCAGAAGCTCAATGATATAGTTGCGTATTAGCTGCTTCGTAATTTAGTTTGTTATTATATGATTCTGTTCATCTGCACTAGTCTGAACACGACTAATTGGGTAGCTATTTCCAAATACATTTACGTATTTGGTATGCATTACATTTCACTGTACATGAATTTAATCAGCAACAAACATTTCCAAAAGGCTAATTGCTATTTTTTTATTTATTTTTATGAAATAAACATTGCCATTTTAAGTATTTAGATAGGTTTGACTTATTTTTAAGATTATATTAATTTGACCAACATGTAACGATTATAATGCGCTACAGGGATATAACAATAAGGATTTACACGTTTGCCAAACCAGGACAAGCAACCAAAACTATGGGGGATATCCAAACTATTTAGATTTTTGCACAAATAAATTTGCATTTGCATCATAAGAAAGAATTGTATGACAAACGATTATTCGTTTGCGATTCATTCCTTTTATATGATTTTACATGTTTGTGTAAGGTTTAATATTTAGTCCAGCGTTCTTCGAAGTTTAGGACTTGGACTGACAAGCGTGTAAACCTAGCATGAAATGCTGACATTCCTAGGGCAACTTTTAGGTTTTTAGCTCAGTTTAACAGTAATTAGTAATAGTCGTACCAGCAATATTTGTTATACATAAATCTATTCACATCATTAGTATTGTTTTTATAGCTTTACTTTAGTGTTGAGGCTTTATTTGGTCTCGTAGCTAGGTCAGTTGAATCGAGCGTTGTTTGTTAACGGAGGTCACCATCATTGCAATGCTGAGTTGTTGGGAGTTCGTTGCCTCACGAGGCAGCATCAATTCTTAAAAGTGATATTTTGAAATAATGTTTATAAATTAGTTAAAGTTTATTGTGGCTCTATTTTTGTAGATGTGCTGTAATCTTTGTATAGTATTTTCTCCAATTAATGTATAATTAGTTTTATCAATTGGTTATTCTAATTTTTATCGATCACTAAATGGCACATTATATAACGTTTATTAGGATTACATTGTAACACTAGATAAAGTAACGAGATTAGATTTTATAGTTATAACTTTGCGGGTAATTATTTATCTAAATGGAAAATGTATACAAAATAACATATTATATTATACACATAATGAAAAGAAAATAAATAATTGTTGAAATCTTGCCAGAAATCTATGGCGTATCGGTGTTTGATGTATTATTGGCATATTATAATAACATATTATAATATTATTGTGATAACATTAGGATATTGTACTGTTGCTGCAGTGCCGTATCGTATATTTTCAATGAAGCTTATCAAGTATTATTTTTTATTACATTGCATAATATAATAGTAATTTTAATCTTTTTTTACGTATTCAACGCGTAATTAATAAGAAATGTTTAAAATTATATTACATGGCCTCTTCAATAGCAATGTTAAAAATGTTATGCACTAGACTTTTACAGTCATATTCACTTATTCCTACATTGGTGTTGCAGTAATTATGAGATTATAATTAATGGAAATAAATTATTACGCCATTGTTGTAAAACAACGGACCCCATTTGATCACGTTTCTGGCATACAAAAGACAATACCTAGATGTAATGTTAGTTGTATGTAAGTTCATAAATAATTGTTCTATCTTCAAGTGTCTCTTTAATGTAAGTATTTTGAGTAATTATTACATCCATCAGTGTTACGATAACGTAATAATGTTTCAGTGTTTTCATGTACGATGCTGCGAATTGGATTGTAAAAAAACACTAGTGTGTGGAGATCCACTTGGTCAGATCGTTGCAATTTCTCACTATACGAATAATCTGACCTCGAAGAGTTTAACACTGTCATGAAGAAAGGATAGACTGTTGTTAAGTATCATTTAAGTATATATAAATGTTCCAGTAACTACGTTGGGTGTGTGTGCTATGTGCTTACACAACGTGAAGAAGGAATAAGGACCTATTTTGTAGAGGCCCCTATGTTGGGTTGTTTCAGTGTTGCTTTTCATCATGGCATGTTAATTATTTGGATATCTATAATGCTCATCGTTTAATCTACTATATTAAAACGATATTTTAAAAACTAATGTTAGCGCGATACAGACATCCATAGTTGTCGCCGAGCGTTGTTGTGCCAAACGCAATCGACAGTAAGCGGCAACTGTAGCCATTGGCGCACACAACATTCGTGTGGCATCGATGTTCTGTCGTGAAAGTAGCATCTAGATCTAAAGCGGTGCATTAATTATTCAGATTGTTATGGCATTAATCAAATACAGCAACGCAAGCATCCAGATGCTACAATACGCTTCACACATTGTGGTGTTGAGAGACATCATCACGCTATCACCATCGATCGCGTTGACGTGTCAAGAATGATCTGTCATTACTATGATATGTTCTAAATTACTGTTTACAAGTAAAAGGGTAGCGCTTGCGTCGTCCGCCCACAAATTGTGAAGCCAACACTACACTTGTTTCTCCTTTCTTGTTGGTATGGAGACACAAGTAACATTATATTTATCCAAATTATATCACACACGCCAGTGAAGTGTACCTATCTAATAATATTTACTCATAAAATCTATCTGTGCGAACATGTCTGTTATAGTATATTATTCTTGTTCATGTTACTGTAATCTTAAATACTGTAATTTAATAGTTTAACTTGACAATTTACGAGATGTAATACAAATATTATTGATTTGTATTAAAATTTATCCCAAACTTATTGCTCGTTTTCGCCTCCTAATAAAATGTTAACAATTAAACAATATTTCAGCGTTGTTTTATTTAATACTCATAAACCTTCTAACAACAAGCTAGTGTTTTTCCACAGCTCTTAGGAACAAAACTGTTCAATATCTAAAATGTAATATTGACGTAACCAGGTTCATACGTACAGTACATGCCGCTCTTAGGGAGATAAAACGAGGCGAACAAAGTCGCGAGTAAAAACTACTATTGGAAGATGCTTACACTTATACAAATGAAATAAGGCGATTTATTGATGCTGACCAAATATGGACTCTCGAACGCAAAGAGTGGATGGTTCAGGGCATATATACCTATAAATATTTTTATTCTTATTTTTTACCAACTTAACCAAGTATTGTAATATATGATGATATAAATGGAAATCTTGAGGTGCTTTTTAATTACTTTTTTAATGACACTCAAAAACGATTTTTTAGTTTTAAGAAAAATTAGTAGGTATATCTGTACAGGATTTCAAAAACTACTGATCATATCGATTTTTAATACTAATAACCCAATAAATCATAATAGAGAAGTTCCTTGAAAATCACTGTGGCCTTCACGTACACATAATTATAATTTAAGTCGCATGTCTCCATTTTTAATCACGAAAATCACGAAAGAAATTAATATATTTTTACTTTGTTACACGGTAAGGAATAGCTAAGGAGTAAACAAAAGGAGCTAGTTCACTAAATATTGTACCATCTCTGTTTGAAATCATCAAAATCCAAAACAGCATTGTGATGTAGTCAATGATATACATTACAGCATTGTGATATATTGCTGTTATGGATGCGAATCCAAGGTATTTCTAATAGTACTTGGAATTATTATTTAGACTTATGGATTTATACTATTTTGTTTAATTCCGATATCATTAAAATGTGAATATGAGACTACTAATATTTAGTGCGGAAAGCTGACCACTACCTACTACTAAAATTCTAACCGCTATTGGATCTCTACCTACATTTCGTGTATCGTCTAAAAACGTTGCATTATCAGGCAATAAATAGTTCGGAAACTCAAAGTGCAACTTAAAAGCACTGAATATTTTGGTGTCAGTCATGCTAATACTAGCGGAATTAAAATACAAATACATGAAGTATTGAACTGTATTAGACTATAAATTATTTCATATAAAAAAACTTGGGTTTTGTTCAGTTCTCCCTAGGTATCCAAGAACCGCCTGTTAATTCATGTTGTCACTAATTTAAAGAGTATTATTCATCTACACTGCCTCTAGTCACCCGACTCTCACTGTTGATTTGTATAAATATATATATTGTGTATGAAATATGTGTATTTATTAATATTATCACAAATAAGATAATATTACATAATATTACGCTCTATATGTATTTAATCACATTCAAAATTATCTTTTATACTTAAATTTCAAATATTAATAATGCACCATCCACATGCATCTCTGTTTGCCCAATGGTTGAGAAAGTGAAGAAACTGGAAGGTTTTAAAGCCGCCTTGTGCACCTTTATTTCTGTATTAAGTTTTAATAAATAAATAAATTAAAGCAGAATAGTATATTTAATGACCACGAGATTACATTAAATAATATTCATTTAGCATAATATAGCAAAGGAATGACTACAATGGAAATTTCAAATAGCGAATAGTTTAATTATATTTTATGAATATTGATTTGCAAGTAAATAATCAATATCCACCACGGAGACGCAGCACCAAGTGCAAAGTAGATTCTTTTTGTATGTTATAATCAGAAAGAGTGCGTCCGTCTTCAAGCTGTTTACCAGCGAAAATAAGTCGCTGTTGGTCAGGAGGAATTCCCTCCTTGTCTTGGATTTTAGCCTTTACATTTTCTATAGTGTCAGATGGTTCAACTTCCAATGTTATAGTTTTTCCAGTCAAAGTTTTAACAAAGATCTGCATACCGCCTCGTAAACGCAAGACTAAATGCAATGTGGACTCTTTTTGAATATTGTAATCAGAGAGAGTACGTCCATCCTCTAACTGTTTACCAGCAAAAATTAAACGCTGCTGATCTGGAGGTATGCCCTCCTTGTCTTGAATCTTAGCCTTAACATTCTCAATGGTATCAGATGGCTCTACTTCAAGAGTAATAGTTTTGCCTGTAAGTGTTTTCACAAAAATTTGCATGCCACCACGAAGTCTGAGTACAAGGTGAAGGGTGGACTCCTTCTGAATATTATAATCAGATAAAGTACGGCCATCATCCAACTGTTTACCAGCAAAGATCAAACGCTGTTGGTCTGGTGGAATGCCCTCTTTATCTTGAATCTTGGTCTTGACATTTTCTATTGTGTCAGAGGGTTCGACTTCGAGAGTAATAGTTTTTCCAGTCAGTGTTTTCACGAAAATCTGCATGCCACCACGAAGACGGAGGACAAGGTGAAGGGTGGATTCTTTCTGAATATTGTAGTCAGACAGTGTACGGCCATCTTCCAGCTGTTTACCAGCAAAGATCAAACGCTGCTGGTCGGGAGGAATGCCTTCTTTGTCTTGAATCTTTGCCTTCACATTTTCAATTGTGTCAGAAGGTTCAACTTCCAAAGTAATTGTTTTACCCGTAAGTGTTTTTACAAAGATTTGCATGCCACCACGAAGACGCAATACAAGGTGGAGGGTGGATTCTTTCTGGATGTTATAGTCTGAGAGTGTGCGGCCATCCTCCAACTGTTTACCAGCAAAGATCAAACGCTGCTGGTCTGGAGGGATGCCCTCCTTGTCTTGAATCTTGGCCTTGACATTTTCAATTGTATCAGAGGCTTCCACCTCTAAAGTGATAGTTTTGCCAGTAAGTGTCTTTACAAAGATCTGCATGCCACCACGTAGACGGAGGACAAGGTGAAGAGTGGATTCCTTCTGGATGTTATAGTCGGATAGGGTGCGGCCATCTTCCAGTTGTTTACCAGCAAAGATCAAACGCTGCTGGTCGGGAGGGATGCCCTCTTTGTCTTGAATCTTGGCCTTGACATTTTCAATTGTGTCCGAAGGTTCCACTTCTAAAGTGATAGTTTTACCCGTGAGTGTTTTAACAAAGATCTGCATGCCACCACGGAGACGCAATACCAAGTGAAGAGTAGATTCCTTTTGAATATTGTAGTCAGACAGAGTGCGACCATCTTCTAATTGCTTTCCAGCAAAGATCAGTCGTTGCTGATCTGGGGGAATACCTTCTTTATCTTGAATTTTTGCTTTTACATTTTCGATGGTATCCGATGGTTCGACTTCTAATGTAATGGTTTTACCCGTTAAGGTCTTAACGAAGATCTGCATTTTGTAGTCTGTAATAATAAGATATTATTTGTAGATAAAGAAAACTAGAAATTTTGATAAGTAGACAATGGAATTTGCAGAACCGAGAAAAACAAAGAACTTGTTTGTAAGTATCAAAATGGCGTCGGCCATGAAATGGAAAATGACAAATCATTCAAACTGCGTAGTTAACATGTACCGTAAAAAGTTAGCATTAAGGAATAAATAACTCACCAGTGTTTTCAACAGAAGTAATTAGTGTTGATTAACTGGCTTAAAATTTTAGGATTAAATTAAACAAAGAACTGCACAAAAACGATTTACTGAAATAGTAGATACAATATTCCAACAACGAACGACGCAAGCGAATGCGAATCACACACAGTCGCACACAGTCGATTCTGTAATTGAAATATTGATTGTTGTTGTTGTTTTAAAATTCGTCCAATTAGAAATGGCGAAGAGCATTGCCTATACTGCCTAGTCAGTAGTCACATTAATCTTCAGTACATAAACCAATTTATATCTTTCGTAGAATATCCGAGCTATTCTTGACTGCTTCAATCAAGTTATTTCTTAAGTAGGATGTCCTAAATAATTTTCTTCAGTAATCCATAATTTCTGTGAATCGAATGTAATGCATAGAACTCTACTACTAAAGAAAATTTAGTGGTTGATTTGTATAACAGCTCAGTTTTACTTTCCAACTTCATACATTATCATATTTATAATACATGCCTTATTTCAGAGTATTAGGACTATAAGGTAACAGTTTTTTTATTAATTCTTGATAATCCCTTTAGTAATGAAAATGTATTAGAGGGACCGGACGTACGGAAATATGTACATCACTAATATTTTTTGCACAGCTGCCTGTTACGAAAAATATTTCTAAGGTTGGCAACCCAGTTGGGGGCGTATTCACTAGGGTTCTGGTACATTGGTGCCTATATAATAAAATAAATATTTTAGTTTATAGTATTATTAATTAAATTGTATAGTGTGTGTAATCAATTAATTTAAATTATGATAAGAATTTTATTATAGGCTGTTTGTATTACTATCCACAACATTAGCTTCCTTCCCTGTAGGATCTAATATAATATTTTTTGTTTAAGTTGTAAACACGGCAGTGAATACTTGTTTTTCTACTAGAATTTTAGTGTTATTATGAGTCATGGGGTTTGAATCATTATTCCAATTGATCTGATATTACATTTACTCAATAATTGTGTGAAATGGCTGATTTGATTCGTGGGATGGGGGCCCCAATTGGACCCCCAGTAAAGGATAAGTTGGGATCGCCTTCCACTGAGTCCGAAGAAGGAGGTGCTGATTTAGCGGAACTTGCTGCAGATCTTGAATTGGATGAGGCTGATGGACCTAGTACTAACGGTCATTACTTTTATTTATTGTATTTTCCTTCTATAGTATAAATAGTCTAATAATAAGTTTCATAATTGAATTTTTAAAAACTACTGTACTTTAGAAATTTGTGTTAGTTTATTTCTCTGTTTATCCTGTTAAATATGCATAATATAAATATGTATCATATAAATAGAACTTGCTTCCATTATATAGAAACAAGCATTTCTTTATTGTACAAATTCAAGCCCAAATAATATTAATCACTTGACTGTCTTGAGTAGATTCCTATTTAATCAAATTAATGTGATATTATCATTTAATTAGGTTCTATTATATATATGTAACAAATGAATCAATCTACATTTGGGTAACCCAGAACAGTTGATTAGCCAAAAGTTTTATGAACTTGTATATGAATTGTCTATAGACCATTAAAGTTTTGGCACTGGAATTTTGGTACCGCCTATGCTAATGGTGTATTCTATCAGGGCATTAGTGAAGTGTAAAATACAGAGGTTGAAGTATATTTTGGTGAGCTCACTATAATAGAAACATATGATATATTTATTGCAATGTGGTCATTAATACAACAATCCCCTCCCTTAAAACAGATAGGTAACTATTTAGTCCAGTGTAACTGTTATCACTTTCTAAGAGCAATATTATTATAAGTGTAGAAATGCTGTACTCATCAATATCAGACTTATTTAAACAGGTTTTATTTACCATACAATACAAGAAATAAATAAAGAGTAATAAATTTGATTTTGAAGAGTAAGAGAATAAAGAATAATAAAATATTCAAATAATAACTTTTGAATTTGTCTAAATACAATATTTTTTTACCTTTTAAATTTTGTATTGAAGACTACAATATCTTTATACATTTCATCAGGTGAACGCCAAGCAGTGCTTGCACCTCCAGAAACTGAGTGGTATCATGGCAGATTGGATAGATACACCTCTGAGGAAAGACTGTGGGCTGCTGGAAAGCTTGGTAGCTACTTAGGTATGTAGATTGTTTTTCTATTACTTTATAAATCTATGTATTTATATCAGTTGTCTAGTACACATAACAAAGCTCTGCTTACCTTAGGACTAGATGATGGTTTGTGAATTGCTCAGGGGTATTATTATTATTATATTACATAAAATAAATCCTAGAGTATTGTTATACACATAAGCACATTACTTGGGTAAGTTACAGTGGGTTGAAATATAAATATTATTTTGTTTCATTCACACATTGTGCTGATATAATCATTTAACAGGAAATGTTCAGAAATACTTAAGTTTTGCTTGATGCATCCATCATATTAGACCACATTTTTAATATTATAATTGATAGTCATATATTTTATTTGCAATCTTCATAAAAAATAACTTCAACTCTATATTCTATAGCATGGGAACATTAATTTGTAAAATTCTATTATAAAAGCTACTATATTGACTGATATATTTAGAGATAATTTTATATATCTAAATCACTTAATTTAGGTAATTATTTTATAATTTTACACCATTTTATAACATCTGTCCTTTTCATAAAAATGTTGAGTCACACAACATTTTTATGAAAGGGAATTTATATGGTTGTATATTATTTAGTATATTTACTCTTACAAGTTAGGTATTTTGACAATTTTTCTTGTAAGAAATGTTATCTGCATGTAATTTCTTCTTTACACATTTTTTTGGTTGTATAAAGTAACTATAAATTACAAAATATTATTTATTGCTGAAAGTTGTAACTTGCAAGACAATACTTAATTACTTAGTAGGCCTACTTTTCCCATGCTTCTAATGGATGTTTGTTGTAATTGTGTACTGGAAAGTGAGAATTTCCACATTGTTGATAAAATTAGTAATTGAAGTGATAAGATATAGAAAGTAGTTTGTATTTGTAAACTTTGTGACTACTTTTCTTTTGTTTTTATGCATATAAAGGAAAACTGACATACATATCTACTTTCGTTGTCTTTATCTAATCTGTATGTAATTAGGCTTGTAATTAAAAACATATTGTAATATGTTTTTTTTATTAGTAATAAGGAAATTACTATTAGTGGGGTATAATAACTAGGTATCCAGAGACTGGATTATGTAATGCAGTTGCTATTAATGCTGCATACTACTAGGCAGACTCAATTCATAACAGTTCAAATAGACTTCCAACAAAAAAGCAATTTGCATATATTGTATTTGTTTTTTTTATTAAGAAATATGTGTATTAATAGTAAGTTAGTTACTATGTAGCTGTTGCATTTTGCATAGCATTACATTATCGCACATGGCGAAAACTATTGCTTATAGGCATATTATTATATTGCTTATTAAAATAATGATGTTGAATTTAAAATAATTATTAAATGTTATGTGTACAAAGTTATCTTTTATTTTTAGTACGAGAAAGCGACAGAAAACCGGGCTCATATGTACTCAGTTATTTGGGCCGCACTGGGATGAACCACTTCAGGTAGTTATCATTTAAAATTTCTATTCTCTTAATCATTCAACGTCACGATCCATTAGGATGTTCTTTTAAATTTATGTCTACCCATCTTTGCTAATTGATACGCGTGACGAGACGCTTATACTCAGCTAATAATCTGCATTTGCGAGTCCAAAGGTTAACACTTCCAACTATCATGAATCCGTTCGTCTCCTTCCAAAGGAATGCGCGAGTTCCCAAGACCTCAGGTACTAAGAATGAAACTTGACAAGATCTGATACAAGTCAATATATGAGTATTTTGAGGACAAAATTGTTAGGACTCGTGGTTTCTCTGCTAGAAATTTAATCATGTTACATTGACTTTCGCGCTAAAATTATTCATGGTTAATTTCTAGTGAATTTACCGCGATGATATTGAATTTACATGGTTCATAATCTACCAATTCAACCACTAAAATGACCTTTATAGATAAATATTAATGAATTGTCATAACATTATTAATAATTGTTTGGTTCTTAGAATAACAGCAGTATGTGGCGACTACTATATTGGCGGTCGACAGTTTGATTCTCTGCCCGAATTGGTCGGCTTCTATAGTCATTGTTCGGATTTGTTGAAGAGAGAGCGACTTGTCGAACCTGTGGCACCCCCTGAACCAGTGAATGATAAAAAGGTATGTTAATATTATAACTGTAGCTTTTTTAAGTGATTAGAATGGTAGATAAGCTGTCTGCCCACAGATAGATAAGTAGTCTGATGGTAAGTGGTACCATCGCCTATGTACATGAACAACACCACGGACTTCATATCTTCATGTGGCGACCATTTCCGCTTCAATAATTCAGCCATTCCAGAGGACTAACATGTCACGGTAGTTAAAGTATAGACTTCTTTAAAAGTCGACATGGCAGTGAGTTTTTCAAACGAATCACTGCTTACAAAGTAAGTTGCTCGTCTGAAGAAATAGGTGAGACAGAGGTACATACGCAGAGGATTTTATACAAAGTCCAGGCTGTTTCCAATTCCTAATACCGATTAAATATATTTTTTTCAATAATAACAGTATTAATTTTATTGCAGAGAGTTGTAGCGATACTGCCGTATACTAAAATGCCCGATACGGATGAGCTTACTTTCCAAAAGGGGGATATATTTTTTGTTCACAATGACATGGGAGACGGTTGGCTGTGGGTGACGGCGCACAGGTGAGTTATCTATTATTTATCTATCTGTAATCTATTCTCTCTATCTCTTATCTATATGTATATTTTTTATGTATCCAAATTTGTTCTACGGTAGTTGTCTCTATAACGATATCGAAGGTACTAAATTCCTAAACATAATAAATTAGCAATCCCACACCACATTAGATTAGACCTTATACTTATTCAATAAAGTATTTTATAATATCACATTTCTATAACGTTTTACCGTACTACAGCCTGAGACTTCTATAAAAGTACTGTTTTTATGCCACAGTATCCATAAAGCTGGAAAAGATTTCTTTAACTTTGGCATCATGCACGTGACTTCTATAGCATTGTAGGTAGACTGTGGTAATTACATACCATTAATAATAATAATAATAGCCCTGGACAATTCACATAACGCCATCTAATCCCAAGTTAAGCAGAGCTTGTGTTATGGATATTAGACAAGTGATATAAATAATTCGATAAATTCTTTTGTGTGTACATATATAATATAAGTACCTAGGAGTCACCTAGATCGACCAAAAATCATAGTCATAAATACAAATGTTTGTACCGGGCGAAGAATCGCACCAGCGCCCATCGTAAGTGAAGCGGTGTGCTAAACCGCAAGACTACACAGGTCGTCAATCATTACATATACCGGGTGCCTCATTAATGATATAAATAAAGTATAATAACAAGTATTTGTATTGCAGCAATATTATTATAGCACTTTTAACGATAACGTTTGAATTTATTCAAGGCAATCACTCTTTTCCTGTCGGTATTAACATTAGATTTCACTATTGCATTTATAATAATTGTACCTATCTGTTAAAATCTCGCCTTGACTTCAAACTCCTTCCGTTATAATATGGTCATATTATTACGAGTTTAATATAAGTAGGTAATTAATTTATATTATACTTTAGCACACATTTCACAGCTTACCTACGTTACCTTTTGAGTTATAATTTGAAGTTAGATCACTCTAAATATGGTTTTATTAATACGACATACATCATCACATGCTAAGTATAGCGTAAATGCAGATTGATAATAAAATTTATCGTTATACTAATTATAAACTACACTCGCAAGCAAAAGTATGGAATGGAATACTAGTTAAGAATAATAAAAATGGTCCCATTTGAAGGTTAAACTATTAACTTTAAATGTTTATTATTCTTAACTTGTTATTAAGTATTCAAGATCGCGCGGAATCCATTCCAACTAAGTCATTCCATACTTTTACTTGCGAGTGTAACAGTATAATATCTGTTTGTAAGTGAATGAATACTACTGGCTTAATATTATTGCATTTATTTCCATAATAAATATTATTATACCGATATTCGGATTACGGACACTGATTAGACTATTTCCTTTCGAGATAAATGATAGCATATGTTGGTGGTCATCATATACTCCCAAATATGAATTTAAAAATGATTCTGTATTAATGTAAACGTGTAGAAACTCATTTGAAAATAATAAGACCTGAGTTGTATGTCAGTTCTTTTCAGCTCAAAAGCACTCCGAACTGAGTGTAGATGACATATCATGATTTGATTTGATATGGTGTGATTGTATGTTGGAATTACTTAGCTTACCATACATATGTATCAATAAAAGCAATTCTATTAGGGGAAAAATTAGGCTCCTTGCCAACATATAATTATGATTGGATTTTAATAAATGTTTTTGTTTTTACACAGACATAGTTGTTTCTGTACTATAATCTTATCGTTTGTTATCAGTCATCGAATGAAATGTGGTATCCGTCGCAAGTTTGAATAATTAAACAATGATATGAACTACATACTTCTATTTCGGGAAATTATCTTATTTCGAAAGGTCAATGGAATCTATTGAGAGCGAGGTGGCTTAGGTTTACTATCTCGACTTAGATCCAAATCTCTTCTAGATATTTTTTACTCTCGGGACGAAAACAATATTTTGTCTATTTATATTGTTGACTTTTGAGCAAAATTTTCCCTTCCTTCCCCATCTGAAAGACAGAGGCATTATCAATTATCAGCATCGAGGTGAATACAACACTTGATACAATATTTCAATCCAACATGACTGGGAGCCTATTGCCGTCGTTTCTGTGATTAATTATCAAATATATAATTATTGATCATATTTAAGTTGATTTCAATAAAGAATTTTCTATTGTATTGTAATGAAGCTGCTGATTTATTAATTTACAAATTAAAGAAGTTAGACAAGAGTATAGGTGTAAGAAATTGAATTCTTATGTTCTAACAATTTTTGTTCAGGACGGGGGAGCAAGGAATGATCTTCAGGGAGTTAGTCGAAGATCTTGACCCATCAATCGATCCGAACACAGTGTTTTCGTGGTTTCATCCAAATTGCACTAAGAGTGAAGCTGTCGATATGCTAGTCAAAGCTGGTCCAGGCAGTTTCCTTGTAAGACCTTCGGATAACTCTCCCGGAGACTACTCCCTATTCTTCCATATTAATAACCAGATACAAAGATTCAGAATAGAAAAGAAAGGCGTCAGGTACCTTATGGGAGGGAGGACGTTTGAATGTTTGGATGCTGTTATAAATAGATACAGGAAGGAACAGATCGTTGAAGGGCACACTCTCGGACAACCTGTAAGTTTCTTAGTATTGTATTACATATAGTAAGTAACATTTATTAGTAAGTTGACATTTCAATATATCGTTACATATCAGCTTTATTATAATAAAATGCGCCTTTCCTTTTATAGCTGATACGCAATAATAAGCAATATGACCAAATGTACAGCTTTGTAGGTGCGATAACGTGTTCTAAATGTTAATAATAATTCCTTATTTTCACATATTTTATACAATTAATTAGGAAGTCCCTAAGTTCTAAGATAGGTATAGAAAATATATGTGTTTCAAAAGTCCATGTCATCTTCCATATATACTTGTGAGAGAAATAATTAGGATATTTTAATAAATGGAACATTAGGTATATGATACACATATATTTCATGTGAAATTTTCTATTTCACATGAAATGTATGTGTTACCTCAGTAAGCTATATGGAGAAGAAAAGATGAGAGGCAGAGAGAGAGCTTCAAGATGTTACTTCCAATAGGTGTTGTGTGTGTTTGTATATATTGGACATAGACCTTCAAGGTCTTCCACTGTCATCAATGCTCTGTTTTAGTTCGAATTCACTCGAAGCCATACATTTTCGGTCCTACTCATTGGGAAGGCTTGATTGATCACAAAAAATTCTCGGAAACAATATAAGTGAATGCTTATAGGCATTTAGAGTTGTAACTGAAAGTACTAAGCTGGTACGCCTGTATTGTATATATTTTTTTATTTTATTAATAGCTTATAGCGGAGGGTCATCATATAGAACCGCAACAAAACACAACCGGGGCAGCTGCCGAGAAAATTTACGCGACATTACGCGAGTGCAGAGATCAAATAGGTCTCAAGAAGATGAAGGGTATAAAGCATCAAGGCTATTTGAATAAGAAATCCGACAAAGCAGCAAAGAAATGGAAAGCTCTTTACTTTGTTCTGCTGCAAGAGGGGACTGATACACATTTGTATTTTTATGATTCACCAAAAAGAACCAAACCCAAGGGATTGATCGATCTCTCTTGCGCTTATCTCTACCAGGTAGGGTTTTAACTTAATAAGATATCTAAATATTTCCTAATTAAAATTTCTTATTATAGTCTATGCAGTTATAAAGTTATATGTTCTTTTTCTACATATTTAATTGGAATTTAAACGAGTTTATCAATTTTCATCCAATTTCAAGTGTTAGTAACTGTTAGTAGATAGGGGTAAACGTTTTATTTTTAGATTTATATAATTTTACTTCCCTGAGTAACGTAGCAGACATACCGAGTAAAACAGTTTATGATAATAATTTTAATGCGACGTTGTGACGCAGCACAGTCGGTGAGAATCTATTTGTAGTCTAGATTGCCTTTGTCCTGTTGTATCGTCTAATTAATTGTACGAAATTTATAATACTGTCTAGATTGTCTTTGTCTTGTAACGGTACACATTAATTTTTTGTGTGATATCAAAGATATCATCGTAATCATTTTGCAATGTTTTAGGTCCATGAGTCGCTGTGGGACCGTGAGTTCTGTTTCCAACTAGTGGAGCGTGCCTTACCGTGCCTGTCGACGCACACGTTCCTCTCCGCCAACTCCGCTCCCGAGGAGCGCGCCTGGCTCGACGCGCTGCGACCTCTATGCGTGCCGCAGCAGGCGAGACATCAATGCAAGGTATACTATACTATGCTATAGGTACATGAAGGCGATAACAATGACATTTGGATTGATACAAAAAATAAAAAAATTGACATTTTTACTATATGATTTTAAGCTGCAATTGTCCCGTACACACATACATACGTACGTGCATATCTACATATGTGTATACCGCAGTGTATCGATGTATATGCACGGCATGCCAAAAACGACACCAACTGTGGGGATAATATAAATATTAGTAATGTATGATTCCTTTAGTGGTGGATTATCGAGGGTGTTTTGTCATACGCTTGAAATAGACTTGTATGTGTGTCAGGTGGCGCGCGTGGTGTGGCTGCGCGCGCTGCGCGTGCGGTGCCTGACGGCGCACCGGCTACCCGCGCGCCTCGCGCCGCGCCCCCACCTGCGGCTCGCGCTCGGCGCCGCGCCCGTCGCGCGCACCCGCCCGCGGCCCTCGCCCGACCCGCACTGGGACGACGAGTTCGTGTTCGAGTAAGTCTCCCGCCCGCGGCCCTCGCCCGACCCGCACTGGGACGACGAGTTCGTGTTCGAGTAAGTCTCCCGCCCGCGGCCCTCGCCCGACCCGCACTGGGACGACGAGTTCGTGTTCGAGTAAGTCTCCCGCCCGCGCGCCTCGCGCCGCGCCCCCACCTGCGGCTCGCGCTCGGCGCCGCGCCCGTCGCGCGCACCCGCCCGCGGCCCTCGCCCGACCCGCACTGGGACGACGAGTTCGTGTTCGAGTAAGTCTCCCGCCCGCGGCCCTCGCCCGACCCGCACTGGGACGACGAGTTCGTGTTCGAGTAAGTCTCCCGCCCGCGGCCTTCGCCCGACCCGCACTGGGACGACGAGTTCGTGTTCGAGTAAGTCTCCCGCCCGGGGCGCCGCGGCCACTAGTGTACTGTCTCACCTCGTACATTCATCGAATAGGGCATTCGTTTAAGATAAAATTCGCCATACCGTGATATTACAGGTCCAGAGGCTACGGTAACTGTTTCCCATTAGACCGGTATACAGTTTAAGTTAATAATAAGATTATAGTTATTATTTTAAACATCAGCAGTTATTTCCCAAAAATTTTAATGCTTATAATTTTGTTTCAGTGATGTGCCTCCTGATGTGACTTCGTTCACCATTACTGTTCATAATACTGGGAAGAGAGGTAAAGAATCTGAGGTGAGTAACTATTTCATATAATATGTGTATATGTGGTAAATATAAAACACTTACAACACACCATATAATAGGAATATTAACCCAAATTATAACAATTCTATATTATTGTATATTGTGGTAATAATCAAATAAAATAGTATCCAATGAAGTATATAATACGAAGATTTATTCCGTAATTTTTTAACAATTTTAATTTGTCGTTATTCATAGGTTGCAGAGTTGACTATAGAACTGGCAAATCTTGCTAACGGCGAAGAGACTGAAGAGTGGTACCCACTTGCGGGTATGACACCTATAGGAGAGTGGGGTTCTTTAAGACTTCGTATTAGGTAATTCACAATAAATTTTGTCTATCTTTTTACATTAACAATTTGTAACTTTTTTTATGAATTTTATTTACTGTTGCTAGGTATATGCAAGAGTTAGTGATGCCTCGTGAAGAATACAATCCACTCCGTCAGCTCCTATTAGAACCTGGACTACCTGCGGTTAAAGCCTTGGCAGATCTATGTCGCACCGATAGACAACCTCTGGCGACTTGTAAGTTCGTTAGACATTATTATTTCTGTAAAGGATACAAATTAATATAGTCAATAATATTGCATTGTATTAGAGTCTGGTGCTCCATTTTTGTAATGTTAATTATACAGCTATTTTAAGTTGGATTTCGTCGAGGTAGACCGAACTAAGGCTCCAAACAGCCTCTGAATTAAATGTTTATACCATTGTGTATAAGATTTATTATTGTAAATATGGTAATATAATACTGTTGCGTGCTCACGACAGCGATCCTGCACGCGTTCGCCGAGTGCGGGCGCGGTGCGGAGCTGTCGCGGGAGTTGGCGGCCGCAGAGCTAGCGCGCGAGCCCGACCACCGCGCACTGTTCCGCGCCGCCTCGCTCGCCACCGCCGTGCTCGACCAGTTCATGCACGCGCAGTGCAAGCCCTTCCTGCAGGTACGTCCGCCTGCAGCCGTACTGTAGCGAGCCCGACCACCGCGCACTGTTCCGCGCCGCCTCGCTCGCCACCGCCGTGCTCGACCAGTTCATGCACGCGCAGTGCAAGCCCTTCCTGCAGGTACGTCCGCCTGCAGCCGTACTGTAGCGAGCCCGACCACCGCGCACTGTTCCGCGCCGCCTCGCTCGCCACCGCCGTGCTCGACCAGTTCATGCACGCGCAGTGCAAGCCCTTCCTGCAGGTATGTCCGCCTGCAGCCGTACTGTAGCGAGCCCGACCGCCGCGCACTGTTCCGCGCCGCCTCGCTCGCCACCGCCGTGCTCGACCAGTTCATGCACGCGCAGTGCAAGCCCTTCCTGCAGGTACGTCCGCCTGCAGCCGTACTGTAGCGAGCCCGACCACCGCGCACTGTTCCGCGCCGCCTCGCTCGCCACCGCCGTGCTCGACCAGTTCATGCACGCGCAGTGCAAGCCCTTCCTGCAGGTACGTCCGCCTGCAGCCGTACTGTAGCGAGCCCGACCACCGCGCACTGTTCCGCGCCGCCTCGCTCGCCACCGCCGTGCTCGACCAGTTCATGCACGCGCAGTGCAAGCCCTTCCTGCAGGTACGTCCGCCTGCAGCCGTACTGTAGCGAGCCCGACCGCCGCGCGCGTGAACTACAACTTTATAGAGATTATTATATTCTATTACTATTATCACTAAAGCATTCCTAAAAAGCGCTATTTTGAGTAATAAATATTGTTTACGTGTGTCTATGAGATTCTATTGTTTCCATTTCATCACAGGCCGCAATAGCTGAGACTATTCAGAAGCTAATAGACGCAAAGCAGTCTGCCGAACTTAACCCTACGAAAATGGACTCACCTGAGGATGCTTGCAATAATGCTGAGTTTCTGCTAATGATTCTCGATCAGGTAAAATATCACGTTTGTATGTGTACATGTAAAATTTGTTTTATGACTAGAGCCTATATTACGATGTATTTGTAACTAGCAACCGAGCGCAGTATTATCTTGCCGTAACAAAGTTTCAACTAGCACGGGAGGTAGTTTTCTAACTGGTACCTTTAAAAAATTTAGGATACCGTCAACAATAGTTTGTTGTAAAATACGATTTTCCGTTCAGAGTCAAAACACGCGCCGTAGTGTGAGTGTGGACTCATATATTTGTGGTCTCACACATTCTATGTAGAGCGTAATTAAACGAAATTTAGATCCATTAAGTAAATATAGAAACGTATATACGTTCTGGTGCAGATCACGCTGTCGATCTTCACGTCTCCGGAGTCGTGTCCGCGTCCGCTGCGCTACCTGTGCGGCTGCCTGCAGCGCGCCGCCGTCGCCAAGTGGCCCAACGAGCGCTTCGTACGCACGCGCGTCGTCTCCGGTGCGTATCCCTACACCTTACTATACCCCCACGTTTAATTTCACCATTATAATGATACCCTGTTGCAATTGGCACATTTCCAAAGTGGGCGGAGCTTATTTTTGAAATAACGTATTAAAAACCCTGAAGTTTGAAATGCTAAAATAAAAGGAAAATGGTTTAAAGAAGTATAACAGGATATTAAGCTCCCACAGATGAACTCAATCTGTGGCAAATGCAATCTGCAAGATAGTGCAGATTTTTTACTTGCTCTTTATAGATATCAGTGACTTTCTCAATACTTATTGCATTGAATAAATTTTACAGTTAGTCTTCTTTAATGGTAATGGTAATGTTTAATGATTACACTTAAATCACTATGGACCCTGTTATGTGATGCAAACATAAAATTATTGTTATGACAAATTATATTTAGCGTATAATTCTGGATAATCATCATCATCATCAGCCTGTGTCTATCTACTGTTGGACATAGGCCTTTCCCAAAGACTTCCACCATGTGCGCTCTTTCACCTTCCGCATCTATCCACTCCCGGCCACCTTCGTAATGTCGTCGGTCCATCTTGCAGGAGGGCGCCCGGCACTCCGTCGACCCATACGTGGCCTCCACTCCATAAGCTTTTTTTCCCATCTATCATCGCTGACTTTGCTGATATGCCCGGCGTACTGCCACTTCAGCTGAAATACTTTGAAAGCTATGTAGTCTTCTTTGGTCGTCCGTCGAATTTCCTCGTTTCGGATCATTTCCCTTAGAGAATATTCTGAATAATAAACTGAATTAAATATTTTAAAAACAATTTCTCTTATATACCTACCATATTAAAACTTTCATATGTTATTGCATAACATCTAAAGCTGATCGTTGAAATCTAAATGAATTACTATTTAATAAACAGTATTATTCTGTAACCTAGAACAGAGTAGTACTGTCTATTAATACTTGTTTTAGATATTTTATAAATAGGTTCAGGTAAAGCATCTGAATCATCGAAAAAAGACTTGGTTGTATATAGTAGTGGTAATATTGAATGTAATCGTGCAGGGTTCATCTTCCTGCGGCTGATCTGCCCGGCGCTGGTGGAGCCGCGCGCGTTCGGGCTGGTGTCGAGCGCGCCGCCGCCGCACGCGCAGCGCTCGCTGCTGATGGTGGCCAAGTGTCTGCAGAACCTCGCCAACCTCATCGAGTTTGGCGCCAAGGTCACACATCACTTTTTACTACTCAAATGCCTTTATAAAGTTGTTTCCATCTCAAATGTTACGTTTTTTTTCTAAGGCAGTCGCTCCGGAGCGATGGCTGTCTTTTTAATTTTTTTTTGATATGTGGAATAATCTTTATCTTTGGTAACAGTAATGTTAGTTGAACTCTGTTCCATGGGCATTTAACCTCTCATTTGGACTCTTATGCATGTAGAGCCAACACTATTAAAGTAGCTAGCCAAACTCCTATCACGTAGGCAGAAGCCTCGTGGTGTATTTACAGACTTTACGGAGCGACCCAACCGTTCTGAGGACTTGTTTACGTTGTGATGCCACTACTATGTACTACAGGTTTATGTGAGCGGGTATTTGTTCGGCTTTAAAGCAACCCCGACAAAAGGACTGTCTGTAGTACCTATTGTGTACAAGTGTTTGCTAGCAATATGATCAGTAGTCCCAAGAATTAATAAAGGTATTTAAAATTACAGGAGCCGTATATGGAAGTGGTTAATCCATTTATTTTGAAGAATAAGGAACGCATGGTCGTGTTTTTGGACCAGCTGAGTAACGTGCCTGACCCGGGGAATCCGCCGCCTAATACGAACAATAATTTCGACATTGGTAAGTATTATTTCTTTATTGAAGTATTTTTACGTGTAGAAGTATAGACAACAACGATCTGTCGAGACTGTACGCATTTAGGTGTTAATTACTAAAATATAGTCTATGTCGATTCTCGTGATGTAATCTATCTTTACGCTAAATTTAATTAAGATCCATTCAACCATTTCACAAAGAAAAGATAACAAATAGACGCACTCGCTTTTGCATTTTTAATATTAGTATTATTAATACAACTACTTGGTTATAATGTTAATGTAATAAAAATAACCGTTTGTAAATGAAATTTTATTTATTGACACTAAAACTACATGTGGTAATATTTTAAATAGTTGTAACAAATAATTGAGCACATTAATATTTCCTAACAGCTAAAGAACTGGCAACCCTTCATCACATCTGCGTATCGCATCTGACTGAGCTGCAGGCTTTAGCGAAAACTCAACCCGCCATCAGGAAACTGGTTACAGTTACAGAGATGCTCACCAAACACAAGCACAAGTATCTAGAAATGATCAGATAGGATACGCCTACACATAATACAGGTAAACATATGAATTGACCGCTTCGGTGGTGTAGTGGTTCGGCACATCGCTTTACTCACGATAGTCGCAGGTTCGATACAAACAGTTATTCATGAATATTATTGTTCATGATACTCAGACCAATATGTCTGAGTATACAAGTATTTTTATAGCATAGGGGATAGGGAATGCAATCCCGACTCGAAATTGCAAATTCGGGATCCCGCGGGATTAGAAATATCAATCCCGTGGGATCCCGGAATTCTCGGGATCCCGTCTAAATTAAAAAAAAATGTTGAATTCAGATGACTGAAAAAGCTAATAACTGCTTGTTTGTGATAGTGAGGTTAACTAAAATAACATATTACTCGAAAGAAAATAAAAACCTTTATTCTTTAATCTTAACAACTAAATAATAATCAGGTTGTAAGGAAATTAACGTAGGTAAATTAGGTAATCAAAACAATAAGCTTATTTCAAGGGAATTAGTAAAAAGAGTGATTTTGAAAATGACTCCTTAAAAAACAATGGGTATTAATAGTTTCATCTGCTAAACGGCATCTAATGTCCGTTGCAATGTACCCCGCTGCTGAGAATGCCCTCTCCGACTCAACGCTGGTTGGCAACAGCGTGGCGAAGCAATTATATGCAACCTCAATAATCGCCCCCTTGTTCCTCCACACTCAAACAAATCCATTTCTTTTTTAATGGTAGATTCTAATTTGTCTAAGCTCGTGGACGTGGATATACGTGCAAAAGGACTTTTAGAAGCTCGCAGAGTTTCTTCTAATTCCTCTTGAAACGATTTATTAGTTTGTGCAGCACGTAAATTCAAATCTTCTGCAATCATTGAAAGAGGCAAGTCATCTTCGATTAGTACTGCCGTATTAATATCTGCTTGGTTTGGTTCTTTACGATATAATCGTGTGATTATATTTTTTATTTCTTTTCTTATAAGATACTTGCTTGGTAATTGAAAAATCCCGTTGCCTCTCCTTTGCTCCAAGTCCTCTTGATAATTATTCGGATTTTTCAAATATATCAGCACTGCAGTTGCTTTTGTGCGACGCTCGGAGATACGATTATTCATTGAAGAGACTAACTTTTCTGAGAGAGGAGTTTTTAGGTCTTCTAGCTTTCGAACCATGAAACGCAATGTATGTTCTGCACTTACTAAATCTGTATCTCGACGGCACAATACCTCAACAGCCAATTTCACTGGCTGAAATGTATTTTCCAAATCGCTAAGGACCACTGCCGCCCAATCCCGTCAATCTCGAACGGGATCTCGTCATATGATGCGTCGGGATTGATCCCGAAAAATTACACGAGATCTCGCGGGATCGGGATTGCATTCCCTAATAGGGGATAAACGAGCTTGCGGCTCACCTGTTGGTAAGTGATTTGCCGGTTTAAAAAAAAAAACTAACTTATTTCTTGAAGATTTCAATATCGTATTGCGCTGGTATTGATGGCACTGTCACACAGCGCAAGTGTTATTTGCTATCATTGTTGTATAAAGAATGGTTGTAACTTATTGTTTGCGAAGAGATTGGATTGAAATAAAGATTAAATGTTACCGGACTTTGAAACGTTATCTTGTAAACTGCATTCGCAAATCGATCAAGACGTTCCAGAGATTAGCCTGCATAATATAATAAAGTTATAAAAATACTAAAAAATATTTTATTGAGGATTATATAAGCACAACTTCTTAATATATAATTTTTGTTTTATTTTATTATTTTAATTTATACGATTGTTATGTTTCAGGGTAAAAGGTCATAACTGCCCTGGTAGCGGCAGAGAGTAGTCGTCATGTAATGAGTTCGCAACTGTAGGAATAAGAGTAAACCTTTAGTCGTATACGCGTAGTCATTGTTAGCTGTTAGCATTTTGTTGCATTCTGCATTTGGAATAAATTATTTTTGTGCTTCCTCGTGCCAAATATTGCATTTGGGCTTCAATATTCAGCATAAAAAATGCTGGATGTGATATCGGCGTAAACTAATGTAAAGTTGTAAACCCAAAATTGCCTTAAAAGTCTTCTTTTATAATTTCTACTTCTAAAAGTGTAATACAACTTCTTGTGAACATTTTTGAATAAATGTCCCTACATTTATTAATTTAATTAGGGGCAACATAACGTCGCTTAGATTTCATTCAGAGTGTGAAGTATTTTATTTGTAATAGTAGGTATTTTTTATATATAATAGAAGCGTAAATAAATGACAAGTAAAAAATACAACTATTTTATAAAGGATATGATTTAAGTATTTGGCGAAAAATAGAAATATGACTATTGTAAACTTGATTTAGATTTTTAAGTTTAAACCGATACATACCTTTGTATGTTGTTTGAAGATGTTGCCATTCGTTTTTCGGGTGAAATCACAATTTGAATTTAGTACTAAACATCACATTATGTGTTACTGCAACACAATTATTTTATCATAATAAAGTATTAGACTTTAAACAGTAACGTTAGATTATAAATTATACCTTTTATATTTATGTATCAATTAAAATTTATATTAAAGTATTATTACCCTGAGTTAATATTACATTAGTATTTGTAATCCTAGAATATTAGTCATAGATTTAGGTTAACGTTTTGACCATCACTCATAAGACACCAAAAATGTATTAGTGAATGTATGAATGTGATAGCTGACGGTCATAGAATGGTGTTCTTTATAAAAATCCTCTATGGATGTGACAATGCACATACAATTACACAGTGCACCATGACTATAATTATTAATTCTCTGTGATAATTATTAATTATTCCTTCTTGAATAATTGCATTTTTCTGTGATTTTATTAAAAATCTGAATTTATTGTTTAGCTATTTTTATTATTTCATTGGCATTTCATTACTCGTTCTGAATCCCAAATTGTTTCGTTAAGAAAACAGGGTATTTTATTCTATTATTTTACTTTTACTGTAATATTTAAGATCTTCCTCCGTTTCCTCTTGCTCAAATAACGTTTTAATATATGTAGATGGTGGTTTATATTTCTAGTGCCATATAAATTTGTACTTATTTTATTATAATCTACTCGCACTACTCTTATTTAGCTTTATGCATCACAATTTCACAGATTGTGACAAGTATTTCGTGTTGGGCATTATGGTATCTTGATGAGTGGGATTTTGAGATCTTGTTATAATTTCTAAGACTACTAATTTAATATTTTTAAATTTCGTCTTTTTTACAAACTAAAAAGCACATGAAACTTTTTGTATTATGTAAAGTAAATTATTTAATTTATATATTATGTGTAATATGGTTATTATGCGTTAAGGGCTCCTTCACATGTCCCTCATGCGACGTCTCTGTATTCCTTAAATATCGGTATAGCGATATGAATGCAGAAACAGTTGAATATCGTCATAACGCGGTATCATTTATAAGCATTTATAATTCACTTTATTTTTGGCTACAGCGTCGTCGTTACTAACTGTATTATATCTATAAACTTTTGTTAAGTAAATTGTTACTTCACCCTTGGGTAATCAGTTACGAACTGGCTTATAGATTATATAACTGGCTTATATATTATTATATTAGCGGCCTTACTGTACAATATAAGCTGGTACGTAGATTATTAGTGTCAAAGTATTATTTTTATCCTTAGCAGCAAGGTCATAAATTAGCTTTTCAAATAATATAAACCTATAGTTTATTTCCTTGCTGTACATTGCATAATGTATTATTTTTTTCTAATTAAATAATTATTATTGATACCTTAAATTTAATGTCAACACATTTTATTATATTCTTGTGTATTGTTATGTATCATTATATATCGTGTAATATTTAATATATAGTGGAAACATGATACGTATTGGTTAAATAGGTTTGATTACGTCAGCAGATTTAGTTAACCATTTTAAGACACGAGGTTCTGAATAGTTTAGACCGACCGAGACTAGATTTTAACATTGAGAACAAAACCAAGTCAGATTTTCGATATCTGTTTTTTAAATTAATATAAGCAGTCAATAATTTAAATTATAGCTTTATTTGCTTGGGCAAAGCATTTATTTTATAATGTTTACAATACATTTTCTATATTAATCGCAAATTAATCACTGAAATTAATTATGTTTAATCACGAACGCAGTTTTGGTTTCGTTAGTTTTGCAAATTTATTGCCAAAATCGAATCTCGCAATTGACTAAATGGCGAAGTCTGATACTTCAATATTTTTTGTTACACTAATCTTGATATGAGAAGTGAGATTATGCCGATCTTTTTTTTTGATTAACCGAATTGACTCAATTGCACGATTGAAGTACTGATGTACTAATTACTTGGTAATACCTCAATGGTTATCTGCAATAGTGATAGTGATGTAGTTACACTAATCAATGCATCGAAGTTGATAACGTTCATTTATTTATTTAGAATTAGCTTGTAGGTCTAGTGGATGTGTCGTTGCCGTATTTAAGTGTGTTGTTTAGCTTATTATAGGGACAATGTCTAGACTGATTTACGCTCCAATTAGAGTTGTTAGTATTTATAATATAATGCACTAGATTTTCCACGAAATTGTGACAAAAAGTGATAATATTGCAATATTCGGCCCATTTGATATAAATTTTGATACTGAAATTCAGAGATTATTTCCATAAGAGATTATATCCATACCATATACTTAATAATAGTGTTAATATTTTGAAACATTTTACAGAAATGATTTATATTATTTTATATAATAACATGGTAATTATTTGTGATGACTGTACTTAGAATTGCAATTTAAAGATTGTTTTAATGTAAGTTACATATTATTTTATATGATAATAATTTTCATAAATGTTAATTCAATGCAATATATATTTAATGTATGCAATTTTAAATTAATAAAGCACAGAGTACACAATTTTATTACACTTGTTAACATCTGCATGTTAGCAGAACTGTTGTTTGTATTGAACATTTTGATTTCATGTAACAGTTTTGTATAATGACATGTATAAGTTATTAAATACCAAAATTTAAGTTCCAATTTAATCATTAACAATTAGTATTATAGTAGATTTTGTGACTGTTTTGTAATCTCTTTATATTCTATCCCTTAGTGTGTACCGTTTTCTATTAAATTTTTATCTGTATTAGGAATGCAATCACAAAAATAAAATTATAGAAATTAAAACTGTCTTATGTTTATTGTCATTTCTTTCTTAATTATATTATTGATATCAACTATAGGATAACACTCCATAGTAAAAAAATATAAACACATTTTTAGTTAGCATTAATATTATTTACAATAAAATAATGGTTCCAGTTCAAGTAAGGAACAAAATAGAGAATGCCATAATAATACAAGATGCGGCTATATAAGGAGATTTCCTTTCGCCAATTCTTGCACACTTCCAAAAGGTCCCCAATAACCTGTTAACAATGGTATAATGAGAGATGGAAGAAAAATTATCAGATATATTGTCAATGAGGGCAAAAAAAGGACATAATATAGGGATTTTTGTTATGGCCATTGGCAATAAATTAAGATTTGTAGTTCTAAAAAAATAAATATCTAGTGTCAGTGCTGGTACTATGGTTGCAAGATAACTAATGGAAATATTTTAGTTTATATTGATTATGCAGATATTTATAACAGAAAAAGAAATGCCTAATAACATTATACTACTAAATTTCTATAGACATTAAGATGTTGAAGTAATAGATTAAATTACTTAAACATTCTTTAATTTACCATTAGAAGTATTGTTTCGTTAATACCTTGTCATAGTCTATAACTTATTTAATATTATCTAACTTTTTATACTCATATTTACATGTATGGACATATTAGCTGCTTTGCCTGCAATTTACCCCATCATTTCTATTATAAAGTATCCTTTGGTAACCAATGAACATTTATTACCTTAATTTCTTATAGGTTTTTTAATGTTACCATTTCATAAATTATTTTATATTAAATTGTCCAATTATATGCCTAAAAAACAACTCTTGTCCTGAGAAAGATGGTAATAAAACAATAATAAGGTTATAAAAATAATTTATACAAGAATTACTATTTTAATTAAAATATTTAATAAAAAGACATTAATTTAACTTACCCGGTTTTATTACGGTCCATTATACTTGGAAAAAATGCTCTTAAGTATGCACAAGTACATATCAAGAGAAGGATTACTGATAGAAGGCTTTGGAAATTAAACAGCGCACTCTAAAACAAACATTATTACTCATTATCATTATATATAAATAAATCATTCATAAATGCTGAAAAATAACAAAAACCAACCATAGTGTGATATCACTTTATGAAGTAATTGTTGTTACAAGACGCAAACGTTTTGGATATGCAATTATTCAAGTATTTCGAGGTAACTTTATTAAATTGTTTAATTTTTAGACTGGAATTTAAAGTTATTTAGTCACAGGCAGACAGTTGGTGGAATATCGATATTTAAACACTTTAGATATTTTTGGAATAATATATTTATTGTTAACAATAATTTAGATTATAAACTAAATATCTGAATTGAACTGAATTAAAATATTTAAAGATAATACTAAAATAAAAAAAATTAGTATTTTATAGTTATTTGACACTGACTGACAATAAACAGTAATGTCATAGGAAATGACACTACTTATCTACACATCACACATTTCGATTACAGTATTTTACATTATAACATACACATGTCAAATAAAATTTATTTTTGTAAGAGTTTCTCGAGAAAAATTTCAGTTTAGGCTGACATTTTCAAAACAAGATTGTGGTTGTAGGTGCTTAAAAAAATTTTAAAACATTTCAACGTCCTTATTCAAGATATTACTAATTATTCTTATTTAGATAAAGCTAAAAGTTTTATGAAATGCAGCCGAACCACTACATTTTCTTTTCATTTATTTATAAACAAGAAGTATTGCAAACATGTCAACGTCATTGTCAAAGTCATGTCATATAGAAAGTCAATTAATTGATCAATTCTCAAAATTTTAAAGCTATTTTTGTGGAATTTAATAATTGTAGTATAAACTACTACAAAATAATTTATTATTTAATTAGTAGTATTATTAACAGTATTTTTTCTGTTATCTTTATATTAAATAATGGACGAAGATAAATTTGCTTTAGTTGAAAAAATAATTGTAGACATCGAAAATGTTATGATGAAAAATGCTGAGTTGTAATTATTTGTATTTGGCAAAATTTCAATTGTTTTGTCCTGTAAGTATTAGGATAATGTTCAACGTAGTTTATATTTTCAGATGTGCATTTGATATTGTTCCTGTGGAGACCAATTTTCAAAATAAATCGCCAGTCCTTTATTTGGAAAATTGTCTCGGATTGGAGTCATGGTGTGTGAAACATGTATACATGTATTGTTACTCTCAAATTATGGATAAATATTTTGCGAAACCAAAACGTAAAGCCTTAAAAGTGTCTGCAGCGAATGCAGATAGGCTAGTAAGTTTAATAAATGTAACATTACTACTGAATCCTGAATTGAACTCTTTATGGAACAAAAGACGGGAGTTGGTACTGAAGGCGTTTCTGGAAAAGTCTTCAGAATTGCAGTTTACTAAATTAGTACTGTCAAGAAAACCAAAATGCAGCGATGCTTTTGCCTATAGAAGGTGGTTTTTGGATTTAATATTTACAGGTAAGTAAATTTGTGGCTAATTTACATAAAAAATATAATATGTGTTTTATATGTTATGATTTAAACACAAAATGTAAACTACATACTTAGTCGTAATTTCATGTGGCTCATGTGTTGGTTGTTCACTCAACTCAACAGTTTCTTAAGTTATCTGCTTGGTTTCAATGGTATTTTCTATATCTATCTTGTACCTCTGGTGTTTTCTTTGTTTATGGACAAACTATCAACATTATGTGTAGATTCCTTGATAATATATTGCTCTTACTTAAATTATTAGGGTATTTTATTTTTGCAATACATTTGCCTACTATGCTTATATACTAAATAATATTTACTTATCCTAATTTTATAAAGTAAGTATAATATGCAAAGCTAGGTACCAAAGTAATTGAGTATTTAACCACCCATATAGGTACCTAGAAATAGTACATTTTTAGGTTAAATATCATTGTGTTTATGACCAAAATAAAAATAATAAACTATTATAATTGTTGCTTATAATAAAATTTGGAAGTAATAATCAACACAAAACTATGTATAATTCAGATGGGGCAGTGAGTCCACCATCTCTGCTATTCTGTTTATAGCCTTTATTAGTAAATTAATACAATAAAAACATTATTATGATATTAATTCTAACTAACAAAGTAAACATAAAAATTAGACAATAACAATTTGATTTTTAATTTTTCAGATGAAAGTATGCATAATGATGACATACAAAATCTTGTGGATGAAGAGTTACATGTATGTGAATTAACATCAGATAGCAGCCCTAACAATTATCACAGTTGGAATCACCGTATGTGGTTTTTAAATAAACTCAAAACTGTAAAACAGTTTGATATTAATTTAAAATATATTGAAGAATATGAATTCTCTGAGAAATGGATGTCTAAACATATATCAGATTATACTTGTTTTCATTATAGACAATTTTGCATAAAGAATATATTTTGTATTGATAACAGCAGTTGGTGCAAATTCAGTAATATTGTGGGTATTAATTTTAGAAAGAGTTTAGTTGAAATAGTAGCTTCAAATATCCCACAAGATGTTACAATTCAAGCATCACAAGAGGATTTATTGTCATATACTGAAGACAATCTAGTGGATATGTTGTTGTGTGGTTCTTTTAAGAACTGTAATTGTATAGTTGACAATGTTTTAATATGCAGGAAATTAGAAATTCTCTTTCATGAACTTTTTATTACTAACGAGTTAATGATATTTTATAAATATCATGAAACATTGTGGTATCATAGACGTTTCGTAATTCATGAAATAATCGCCATTATGTATGAGTATTTTGGTGTAGTTCGACAAAATAGCGCTCTAGTCAAGAAGAGTTGTAAGAAATGTAATAGTGATGACTTAAGAGAGAAACAGCCAAAAATTGTGAGATATGACAGCAATCGCATTTATTTTAGTGTCCTATTTAATGTGTTGATATGCCATGAAAAGAAATTCAGTGAAGAGAGAAAAATCGATGGTGATAATTATGCAGACAGGCATGTCAAGTATATGAAATTTGTGGAAGGGCTTAATAATGTGATGTAATAAGATTGTTCATGGTTTTAGAATGTCTTGGCAACTCAAAACTAGCAACTAAAATTATATTATAACCAGTATCTACAATTAATGTTACTATTTATGTCATTATATTTTGCTAGAATATAGTTATTATAAATAAAATTTTGTAATATATAGGTAGTTTTATAATTTCATTTATGAATCAGAACATTTGTGTCAATTCGTCATACTGATGTAAGGAAATACATTGTATAATAGAAATGAATCTGTGATCTCTAAATAAAAGATTGATATTAATCACTTGAAAAAGAATATAGATAGTTGTACTTGTTTATTGGTCAGTGTTGTAATGAATTTTTCTTCTAATATTATTTATTTATGTTTTACTGGAATAAAATATGTAAACTTGTTTCAAATCTTATTTAAAATTTTATTATATAATAGCATATTCATTATGATTATTTTCTAGAATTCTTGTAAAGGCGTCAAAACATCAAAATAATATATATAAATATGTATATAGACAATTGTGAATGTAGAATAGAAGTGGCAATAGTTTATATAAGACTGCTGATATGGACTTCTGTTAATATTAGCTAGTGTATTATTTCTGTACATTCTTTATAAATAATTCCTTGTGGAATATACTTAAGGCTCCTATCCGACGAGAATGGCAACATTGGATTGTATCAAGATATTTTATAATTATACACGAAAATTTAATTAACTTTCTATATTTTAGTCTTTAGCGACAATGGTAGAAATCATTGTCATCTGGAAGTTTGTTCTTGTCTTTTCTTAATTCAGGGTGAGTACGGCAGCGCATATTATAGTTACATTTTATTCTTTATTAGTTTACCCTCTTTAAGGTATTCAGATGCAGATCTTGTGTATGATGAGCAATAAAAATCCATATATTCCTATATTTTTAAATAATCTAAGTGACGCTTCGGAATATTAATAAATAGCGTTTGCCGTTTTCATCGGAGGAACCGCTAAAAGTCTACACTTTACTACACTACATTTAAAACAAACATCTCATATAAAGTCATTATAATATATGACTTTATATGAGATGTTTGTTTTCAATTTGTAAATAAATGATATTTTTAATTTTTAATATAGTATTGTCTTTGAGAGTATTTATTAAATTTAATAAAAGACATGTTTTACACTTTGAAAATAATGATAATTATAATTTATGAAATGTATTGTGTTTATATTTCTCATTCTTTTTACATTTATTACTACTTACTTCATATTCATCTGAGTTGGAATAGAAATAAATTATAGGTAGGTATTATAGGCCATATACGTTATACCATATACGTAATAGTGAATAAAAGACGGACCAGTCATGCCAATTATCCTTCAATTATATTTATTTACTTAACTCCAAACAACCTTAACCTCCATCCAATACTAGCTTCGGCCTTTCAACTAATAACTGCCTTTAAACGTACGTTCTTTCACAAGCGAATCGACTTTCACGCAGAAAAGGATACACATGTATAAATCTAGGCAAATAAAACGAGAAAGATTGTACGCTCCGTAATCTCGCGCATTCCCGCGTTCTTCAATTATAATCACCTTTTTCTAATTATGAAATAGTAAATCTTTAAAATTGCAATATTTGACTATGGAACGAAGACAATTATAATTATTGAAAATATATAAATAAAATTTATAAATCTTAAACGTGTGTTTCGAACTCGTATGGAATAAAAAATAAAATTTTAAAAGAAAGTGATATGACATGAATTTGAAAACGCGAACAATAAAACAAATAGTTCAATGAAAACACTCCTTTTTGTGTGCACGTGCTTTTCGTGGAAACTCGCGCGCGTTCTTGATCGCGCGTGAAATAACATGTCGTGGCAGCTAATGACTAGTCGATCTTGTTAGTACTATTTAATATTATATTATCTGTGTTAGTACTAATAATTAATGAATATTTTCCTATATATTTAACTATATAATGAAGAAATATCTAATAATCTGCTTAGCTTGGGTGGCCTAGATGACGCTGGTAGTCCTGTATTTTTTTTATTATTTAATTTATATAATTTAATTGTATTGTAGTGTAACTTTTTTTTATTATTTATAGCAAAAGCACATGTTAGATATATTTTTTCAGCAAGAATTGAATAATATTGCATAAAATTACTATTCCAAATCACTACAAGAGCACTTTTGAAATAACCAGTTTTAAGAATAAAATTTGCTTTAGCTGTTATTATTTTTAGAATCTTTAATAAATAATTTAATTTTATTGATTTTGAATATTGACAACGGGAACTTTGCAAAACTTCGGCAATAAAGGGTCTTAACCTTAATACTTTTGTTTTACTTTCTAGGCTCCCGCCCCGGTTTTACCCATAACTTGCGAGATTTGTATATATTAAAAAAAGTATACGCCACTAGCATAATGTATGATTAAAACGATGATAGAATTTCTGTAATGTTTTAACACAATATATTTACACAGTGATCCTGAATATTTAAAATAAAAAAAAAATCAGTAGAGACACAAATAAAATTAATAAAATAAAAAAAAACAAACCGCCTCCTCTCTATTTAAAATTTTACCTTTTATACCAAACTCATTCCTACTGTATTATTTTTTAGTAGGAACTCAGTGTTGCATTCCGCCTTTTGTTAAAATGGTAGCTATTGTAGATTTTAGCAAACACGTTATGCTACGAACTAATTGTAGCATCAGCTACGAATGTTTTCTACGTGGGATAATCATTGTACGACATTCATAGAAATGTTTTCAATGGACATACCACATGAAATTGCCGCCGTTACAGAAATAATGTTATTAAACTATTTGTTATGTGACATTATTAAAAAGTTTTTATAAAACTAGATATTGGAAAACGGAAATAAGCCATTCTAAATTAACTCGGATCTGGGTGTGACAAGCTCTTTCTAAATATATATTCGTTCTCTAATAACTTTAACCACTTTTTTCATTGATGATAATGGAATGGTGTCCCCGCCTGTGCTAACGGTTATTGTTAGCGGGACACCAATGGAGGACGATAAGATGAACATGAGGTAATGTCATCGTGGTAAATGCATCACGATAGTATCCAGGGGGAGCCACATGGATCTAACCCTGACTATTCTAGACTAGACTAATGTACTATACATTGCTAGCACTGGGTTTATTTGACACTCCCCTTTCCTCCACTTACTTTTACCAATGAGTAATTTATTTTGGAGACCAAGTAACCAAAGCGATTCATTACAGTCAAATAATGCTAATGAACTTACGACATCAGCATCATTCCAAGTGGCTCTTTGATTTAAATTACGAAATAATGCTATATTATGTCCTTATAAATGCATCATAATGTGCTTAAAACTCGTACCAGCTGAGTACGTACAGGTGCATACGCATTACGCATCGCACCGTTACTCGATGTGGGTCAGGAGGTTCGTACAGGGGTACCCCCTTACTTAATCCTACATAACAACTAAATGGTTGTATCTACCTTTCGATTCATGAAGCAAACTTCAATTCCACGCTTTGGTGTTAAGGTTCCATATCTAGCGGACTATTCTACACTGAATGGCATTGTGGGATTCACTTGAGCTCGTGACGTCACGGTGTCGCGCGTTCGCGGGTTCTTCTTCGATCGATATTCGGGTAGGGATTCGGTTGGTTTCGTGTGATGTCGGAGGGGCCGAGTACCGGCGGAGCCGTTACCACGTGCGAATTACGTAACTCTGATGGGTACAACTCATTGACAAAGATTACTTGTGTAACGAAGCCTTGCTGTGCTTTAAGCGAACTTTAGATATGTAATACTTGCGACAATGTTCAGTAATGACAAATCTGAAATACCATCAGGTTTCCGGAAATGGACATTGTAGGATGCAATACTCTTATAGTTTACGACCGTTACCTACACTTCTAGCATGAATCGATGATGTTCTCTGGTTTACTGCTCCCTGGAGTTCTATCCTTAATTAACATTATCTGTTAAGATTCGATAAGGCACCATCGATTTAATTCGGAGGAGTAGGTTTAGAGACTTATATTGGAAGTTTACTAGAGACATTAATCGTAACTGATCGTTTTTCGAAGATAATATCGTTACTCTATATGTTATGTTTTTCTGTATAAATATTAGGTTTTATATTTTTTACTATTCTACCTACATAATTATATATAAAATTTGTGCCCTCTTAACGACTACATACAGACTAGTGTTCAACTGTTCATCCAGGCCAGTCACGCAAAACTTTGAGTTAACTAATAAGTCACCGGTTTGATATTAGAAATGCAGAAAGCACACTTTGAGTCAGGTAACATGTAAAATTTATAGATTTAACATTCTTGATTTTACTTAAAGGAGTAAAGACAATGTAGGTCGTAAAACGAACACCTTACATTTAAAAGCACTGGTAACATCGAGAGGTTTATTTTAAATTGCTGACGATTTCTTGACTGCTACGCAGGCGGTATTATAGGATGCCGGGAAACAGCCATGTTTAAAATGCAAAACGAGTGGAGACTGCTTCATCTGGATTCCCGAGCGACAGAAACGTTTCTAGAGATTATGTCGCAGTGGGAATGAGAACATTTCAAGATACGAGCCTTTCCGCCAATCGTGAAAATAGGCTTTTTATTACGTTTAATACGATTAGCTATATATAAACCAAGTTTATAACGGTTTTTAAAGTTAAAATAGACAAAAAATTGCGGTAGTAATGTAACATATTTATTAATTATAAAAGTCAGATATTTCAATATTGTTTCAAGTAGTGTATTGCTATTTATTTTATTATTCCATGAACGATTGTGTTTTCATGACATTTGGAGCTTTAAATCCAAATTTAATGAATCCATCATTAAATTTGATTGCAATCTGTAAGAGAAATGTAAAAATTTGTTAAAAATGAGATATGTTCCAATATTGTTTATCTGTATATCCTTGAGTGCTCAAAGAGCAACGTATTACAATCGGAACTATAAAAACAATAGCTATTAAAATATATCGTAAGAATACAAAAGACAATAACAATATATATATATATATAAACAA